GATATGCACAGGTAAATAACAGATACTGAACAGTCCGAACATTGACTGGACATATCTTAATTTGGCTGCAAGCGAATGGTCTGAACAGTACTGAATTTACCGCAGTGGATAAGTCTAAAAAAATGACTGAAAAACTGAAAATGACGCAATAAAATATTTAAGAGCTGTTCAGACCAAAATGACCGTTTCAGATCTAAATTGTTTTATTAGTGCTCGAGAGTGATGGTCTTTTCGTGGTTGTTGTTGGCACGGTTGTAGATATCTTTGGTTTGGTTGTTGTTGTCTGGAGGTATATAGGTCTTTGGTGTGGTTGTTATTGTCTTGTGTGTTGATGTCTTTGTTCTTGTTTCGGATATTGAGGTCTTAGATGTGGTAGTTGTTGTCCTAGGTTGGATGTTTTTGGTATGGTTGTTGTTGTCTCGGGTGTTAAAGTGTATGGTGTATGGTGTGGTTGTTGTTGTCTCAGATGAAGAGGTCTGGAGGTCTTTTGTAAGGTTGTTATTGTTGGTGTCTCGGATGTTGAGGTCTTTGGTTTGGTTGTTGTTGTTTCGGGTGTAAAGGTCTTTTGTTTAGTAGTTGTTGTCTCGGATGTAGGGGTCTTTTGATGTTTGTGTCTTGTGTATGGAGATCTTTGGTACAATGTTTTGTCTTGGTTGTAGAGGCCTATAGTGCGGTTGTTGTCTCAGGTCTGGATGTCCTTATTGTGGTTGTTGTTTTAGGCATTGAGGTCTTTCGTGTTAATGTTGTTGTATGGGATGTAGTTGTTATAACCTAAAGATATATGTATATATATATAAAAGTCTAAATTGAAAACAAATATATATATAAACTAGAATCACCCTTGGTGTATTGATTTATAGTTGTCATTTTAACGTCCAGTGACAAATATTTTATGTACATCCAGGACGGGAAAAAGTAGCAAACATCTAAAATATATTATTATTATGATAAAGATGAATCGTTATCATTTTCCTTATTTGTCATTTAGTATTCAAAATTTGGAATCGTATTAGGTTCTAACTTTATATAGAAAGTTAAATTGTCAATGGTCATAACATAAAAAATAACGAGTTTGTGAGTCAAATAAGTCAAATAAATGGCACACATTTCTGTAAAAGATGCGTTAACCAAAACTCTTTACAGAATGAGTCCTAGACAAAAGAATACTTGTTGAACATACAATGATAATCTTGTATGGTTGGGTACCTAGGGTAAGAATTAACATAAACAAAGGAAGGAGGAGGTGTCAGTTATGCAATATAGTTTTCTTAACTTGGTTTTAGCATGCATATAAGTTGTCTTAATTGTAATTGAAGGTAAAGGTACATTTAATATGGGAAATTAATTTTCACATTCGATAGTGAGGCTTGAACACGCGATCTATCTTGCGTCAGATTGTTCATCTAACCACATAGCCACATCAGCTATAGGTAAAGTCCTGTACTGTAAGTGTCACTATCCTTCGGAGTGATTGATGATTAAATGAGGACTTTGTTTTTCCTCTTTTGTGTCCTGAGCAAACACTAAAGAAGGTAGAGAGAAACTAAAAAGACTAAGTGATCAGAAACACAAGATCAACAAAACAGTGACTTTTGTCATGAATTCTATTCTCGTCTTCAATGTTGGAGTGTTCTTTGTTAAATATGCACATAGGCCAAGCTGAGCGACAAAGGCTCTGTAGAGACTCTAGTTATTATATATATTTGTGTCGTTTGAGTCTCATTGAAGTATATGCCAAACCATTTTACTGTCGTTGGAACACTGACTAATTGTCATTGATGTCGCATTTTTTTTTTAACTATTTGCGTCGTTAGTATACTTTCTTGTCGGCGAAAATGCCACAGCCTTTTATTATTAGTGTCGTTGGTTTACAGTCTCATGGGATTATATGACAGATTTTTTTTTAAAACTATGTGTGTCATTGGAGTATCGTCTTTTTGCGTATATGGAACCTTTTTTTAGTATTTATGTCTTTGGTGCACTCTTTCTCCAGCGTATATGCAATATTTGCTTCTAATGTCTCATTCACTGTTTACGTCGTGACGATACTGTCTCGTTGATTTACTGAAATATAAATGCCACTTTTTACACCATTTTAAATGTACAGATACTGTCTTGTTAACATTTGTGATTACTGTTTCGTCGACATATATGTCACATTTTAAATTGCCATTTGTGTCGTTGGAGTACGGTCTCATTGACGTAAATGTCTCATTTTATCCCTGTCGTTGGAGTACAGTTCACTGACTTACATTCTACATTTTGTTTTGTTATTTGTGTCGTTTAAGTTTTGATTCATTGATGTATATGTCTTATTTTTTCCCTGTCGTTGGAGTACAGTTTTACTGACTTGCATTCTACTTTTTTTTGTGATTTGTGTCGTTTAAGTTTTCATTCATTGACGTATATTTATATTCGCAGGAAGAGTGGGGAATAGAAATATGTTTCTTTTGACCGGCAGAACAATACCTTGTCACAGTGGGGCGTCATTTAGCGAAGTACGCAGCCTTGTCCGTTCAGAATGGGAACGTTAAATCTGATGACCCATGTTGAGAGAGAACCACGCTCTGAGCACGTTACGAACCCTGGCACCATTTCTTTGAGGGGTCCGTAGTAAGCCTGTTGCAAGGAAAAAACTCTGTCCCAATGCACTTTACCCTCATGTTTAAGTGGCAGTCAATATATCCCCGACGTTCATCCCGGACGGCCTCTATCCCGAATTTAACCTACCTATTATCTTTATTGTTTATTTGTTCTCGTCTGAACGTACATGAAATAGTTTGCCACTGGACGGTATGCAACAAACAATCAATCATTGACGTATATGCCACAGTTTTATTGTTTTGTTGTGTTGATGAGTTACACATCTGTTTTTATTTTTCATTTCATTAGAGTACTGTGCCATTAATTTATACGATAATCCTATTTTAGGATTTGTCTCGTTAGCCTATTCCACATTTGTTTTTATTCTTTGGAGTTAGGTTTCATTGAAGTATATGCCACATCTTTCTTTAGTGATTGTGTCGTTAAGGTTGCATCTCATATGCAATACCTTTTTTGTTGTCTGGGTCGAAGGACAATGACAATGTCTCATTGACGTATATTTCACGTCTTTTTTTTCCGTTTGAGTACTGTGTCCTTGGCGTATATGACACACCTTTTATGTGTCTTTGTGTCGTTTGGTTACTGTCTCATTCACATAGGTCACATCTTTTTTATGTTTTGTAACCTTGGAAGTACTGCATCATTGACGTAGATTCTTTATTTAATTTGCCGTTAGGGTATTTTCATTAACGTTTATTTCACATGTTTTATTTCGTTTGCGAATGGTGTCATTGGCGTATACCACTTGGGCTTTCTTTCCTTGACCTTCATTTTCGTTAGGACTGAACTGAAGAATGAAAGCGACACATTAAAATTTAAAAGTTGTTCTATTTTTCTAAACATCCGTAGATTTTTTTTTTTTTTTTAATTTCGAGGACAAATAATCCGACACATGAAAAAAATTCTAAACGAGTCAAGTTAATAATGTATACATAACACAATATATTTTTGCGGGTTTTAAAAGATGCTCTGAAATATATTTTGAGTTTTTACACCAATCATCACAACCAAGCTAGCAAGTGGAAGTGAACCAAGAATAACACGTCCTTGACCTAAGTAAAATTTCCCGCAAATTTCATATAAATCTGTTTTGTTATCGCACATAACATGTAAGCGATGATATTATAATACAAACACATAAAAAATGTATTTAATTAAAAATCGGAACACCCAATACCTCATACAGAACTTATAAGAAAACAAGGTAATAATTATGTAAATTAAATCACAATTGACTAAGTTGAATTTGTATTCGGTAGAGAACACACAAACACATACAATCCATTTTGAATAACTGAATGCAAAAACACATCCGAATTCGAATAAACTAATTTAAGTTCATTTATGCAAGTTTCTTTATCACGTCAAAAAAAAAAATCTTTTCCGTTATCTCTATTACAAACAAGCAGAATATTTTTTCTTGTATGATAAAATTAATTCCTAACGGTCTATTCAATATATTTGATTCAGTAAGAATTTTTTATTTAGATGAAAACGCCTGATAACATTTTCCTGGATAATATCTTTCTCATAAGAGTATAAATTATACATAAAAGATAGGAGCATATACATTGTTTCCTACTCGGAAAAAGTTTTTGATTTTCAATAATAAAATATATAGGAAAAATGAATGTTCAAATGTTTTAAAAATGCCGAAAAATTAATATTCGAACAACATTAATCAAATACAACAGCCAAGGAAGATTTAAAATCAATCATAATCTTTCCGTAATTTAGTTTTTACCGAGATTTTATCTGGATGTAGGACACAAATTAATTGGAACAGTCATATCAGTTTGTATGGTGTTAGACCATGTGTTACTTCTATTTCATCAATATCAAATTTTTAAAACAGTTCATCAAATCCGGAGCTAAACAAACGAATAAACCTAACACATAAAGTTTGAAATGAATAGAAGAATTAATTGGTTAATCTGTTGGTTGTGTATCGTTCAGTGACAAAAATATCATGCATATTCAGGATGAGAACAAATAAACGATGTATATATCTGATTTATTTGTATATAAAATGTATATGTAAGTCTACCGGGATGAAATGAATTATCAAATACAGGGAAAAAAGAAGTATCAGTCCATCAGACAGCAACCTAACGACACAATACGATGTTTAATTTGTTTCGATATTATTTACAACTTACCCATCTATATAGAATATTTATTTCGAATAACAAAAATATTGAGAACATACATATGACTTAAATTAAATTTTTCTCTTGATTTTTTTTTCTCCAACTATCAAACATTAAGTGGACGTGAATCAAAGAACAACTCGTCTTTGTAACATTTCTATTAATATCTATATAAAGTTGATTTTTTGTCACACATGTAAAGAAAGCGTTGATCACACAAAACTAATATAATTGTAATATTGACTTTAATCTGAATACGGTATACAACTGTACAGATCATGACAACCAATTAAGTTAATAGTAAAGAAAAAATAGATAAATAGAAGTTGTTTTGAATGACTAAATGCATAAACAGATCTGAGTCCGAATAAACTCATTGTCTGACAGAATTATTTATGTTTATTTATGTTCGTTTCTTTTTCACGTCGAAAAGAAAAGCCTTTCCGTCAAAATAATTACAAACAAGCAGAATATTTTCTTGTTTGTCAAAATAAATTCCCAACGGCTCATTCCATCCATCCGATTTAGCGAGAAATTCTCTATGATGTTTGCCATCGTCTGATACAACTATTACTGTGTGAAAATAAGTCACATAGACATTCCCCTCATTATCTGTTGTCACACAAGTTAAATCTTGAAATTCATCCTTTTCAAACTTCCAAATTAGTTTTCCATCTAACGAGCAGCAGTATATTGATGTTTTGTCTATACAGACCAACCTGTCTCTGTCTACTGTAATGTCGGTGATACGGTCTGAAGGTAAAGGTATAGTACGTATTACTTTACCTGTCAGGTCCATCACATGTATTATACTCCTATCAATAACAACGTACAGGTTATTATCATTATATGACATTCCCCAGCAGTTACCACTGGTGTTGATTGTACTGGTGACAGAACCTGTAGATAAATTTATTATCAGTATGGTTCTGTCATATCCACAGGATACTGCTACAGTGTTAATATTTACCACTGTCATATACCCTGGTCTATAGGACAGAGGAATGTGATGGATATCAGTACCGTCTGAATTACAAATAATAAGTTGGTTATTTAAATAGTCGGTAAACACTAATGTATTGTCTATTTTGATACAGCTAGTAATGTACAGATCTTCATTCTTTGACTTTTGGATATTTAACTCTTGACGCAAAGTGACAGAAACAGGAAGGTTGGTTTTGACAGATGTTTGGTCCTGAGCTTCTATTTTTGGTTCATTTTCTGAAATAAATAATCAAGTATCGAGTTGGTTAATTCAACAATTTATTGCTTAATCTAAAATGTAGTTTACCGCTCAAAGGGTTTAGAGTTTCTTTTGTTTTGCACACTCTATATGAGGTATTGAATTTTTCACTCTCGGATGTTATTTATATTCACTTTCAAGTTTGAAAGCTCGTTAAAGCTCTAATTCGAGCTTAGCATAAACGAGAACAGCATATAATCCAAGGAAAATCGGAAAAAAATGTAAAAATGACAGAGATGGAAAAACAGATATGTGTAGAGCATAGGCATGTACTGGATACACCAATGCAGTGAGAGAAGATATTTGTTTGACCCAAGAATTGTAAATCTGTGTGTATTTTAACACAAATATATGTATATGCTTCCTTTGTCCTAATCACGAGGAGAAAAAAAGGTTGGTGGTCTTTCTATATGAAAGTTTTACATAGACGTTTCGCTGAAATAGGTGCCTCTTAGATGTGTCAAATATATCAGTGGGTTGCAATTCCACCAAGGTAAAATGTAAATGAGTCGGTTATTTTTATCTTTCGATTGAATATCTGTATGCTTGTTTTTTTTCTGTTTTTAAATCAAATTCAGATGAATGTACTGATAATTATATAAAAAGTAAAATCACAATAAAATTTTTAAATATATGAACGGGTAATAAGTTTGTCATGAAATATGTTCAAGGGTCGTGATTACGTACAAATTGATGAAACAAAGAAAACCAAAATGACATATAGACACGCAATATGAATGATTTTTGGTTACTTAACGTCCAGTGACAAATATTTCATGCATGTTATTGACGAGAATTAACAATACATACAATAGGTAGGTCCTGTAACAGAGGTCATCCTGGTTGATTCGGACTGCCACGGGAAAATGAGGATATCTTGGATAGGGACAGACATTTTGCCTTGCAACAGGCCATATACTGACCCCGCAAATCGTTGTTGCAAAGGTTCTTAACGTTTAAAGAGCGTGGCAATCTCTTTACACGAGGCATTTAACGTCCCCATTCTGATCGGACGTGACTGCAAACTTGTTACTTCCGCAAAGTCACACGGACGTCCCGTTTTGGCGAGGGTTTTACTGCTGGTCGGAGGAAGACCAATGGTGACCATATTTATATTCCCCAATCACCCTTTTTGGGGAAGGGGGTTGTGAGTTGTAAAGAAAACAAACATCCGAATTTAATCGGTCAAAATAATTAAAGTAGAAAAACATCGGAGATGTTGGCTAGTAGAGCGGGTTTAAATTGTCTTACTTTACAGTACTTGCATTTTAAAGGTATTCTTAATTTGTTCTCGTCTTGAACATGAACGAAACATTTGCCAATGAAGGTAAAGCAAACAACAGTTAATCGATCTTTAATGAGCTTACAATTCAGAAAACATGTGTCTCTGCGGATTGTGGTGGCCGATGTTTAGTTTCATTGAAAAATATTTTAAAAAATATTCTTCATGAATTAAACTATGTTTTTGTTTTGTTTTTTTTTTTATAATAGGAGGAAAATGAATATTATATTTATGTACATCTTAGTACATGATGTATTTCGGTTTGACAAACATCTGGTATGTAGCAAGTTTTGCAAGAAAGCCCCCTACTAACCGCACAAATCTCTTTGTTTAAGAAGCAAGGTTTCGCCTCAAGAGGCTTCGCGTATTTCTGTGGGATGTCAACATGCGCATTTACGTCAGATCAGAATTGAGAAGTTGAATATTATGTATGGTAATGACACGGTTTCTGCAGCTTCCAATTACAACATTTGTGGAGTTGCCTATTCGAAGCAAAATTGTTGACCATATATGAGGCTGTCAAGATTCAGAATACTCTTTACTTTCATACCAGTCGAAGACTTAAATGTAATATCACTAATATACCTAAACAACAGGGATGAATGGGTCATATAAATATTGTCCCTGGTATCCCGATCGGCAGTAACATCTTTATCAAAGTGGGGCGTCTGTTTGGTTGTGTGGGATGTTTAACTACGCAATCCCGTCCAATGTCATGTTCTCTGCTCGTTAAAGAACCATTGGAACACCTCATTGGAGGATCAAGAGTTAGCATGTTGCAAGGTTAAATGTCGACCCTCTATCCAGCATACCCTCATTTCCATTGACAGTCCAAATTTCTTCGACTCGGGAGGCCTTACTGACAGAACCTACATATTGCATTAATTGTTGATAGTGTATCTTCCTGAATATGCATGAAATATTTTCCCCTGAACGTTAAGCAATTAAAACTCGAGCAATCAATCAATATTATAATACCTTTCCCTACCATACATGCCGTTTTGATTTTTTTTAATTTTTGATTCCGGTAATCAGCGACCAATGAATCATATATTTGACCCACCAAGACATTCCAAGGGTTATGTAAGTTAATCGTCATTTTGCGAAAAACTTCGTTAACTATTAAATTAACTTCAATTTTCTATTGGTACACGTGTTTATCTCTATTCTGAACTTAGAGAAAAATAATAAAAATTTCGTTTGATTGCAAATGAAACAACTCTCTTTCAGAAACCAAATGACATAGAAATAAACAGCTACCTGTCACCGTTCTGCCTTCAACAGGGGGTAAAACCCATACGACATCAAAGAAACATGTATGAAAGATCCGTTTAAGTAAAGCGTCAGTTTAGCTGTACAGGATGTACAAGTACACAGCCACATCCGGTCAGAATAGGAACGTTTAATCCGATGCCTCGTGTATAGAGTGCCACGCTCTCTTCACGTGTAAAACCCTTGCAATAACTCTTTAAGGGGTCCTGTTGCAAGGCAAAATTTTGTCCCTGTGTAATAAACCCTCATTGCACAATGGCAGTCTAAATTTCTCCCCGACCTTCATCCCGGACGTCTTTTATTACAGGACCTTGCTATTGTTTTCATTGATATATTGATCTCGTCCTGAACATACATGAAATATTTGCCACTGAACGTTAAACAGCTAATAAACAATCAATCGAATTAGGCTTTGCCCGAGTGAGTTGGAACCTTTTCTTCTTAAAAAAAAATCATAATTGATCAAGGTGGAATTGAAACATTGCCGACTGAGCTCGGGGATTAAACAGATCACCCTGCAGCACTGGTATCAATCCAGTGCAGGTAAATGAAAATAACACTTTACCAATGTCTTGTCTCGGAAGTGTTTTTCTTGATTTTTATTAATCAGGAAATCTCAAACTGTAACATTGAGTTTAGTTTTGGCGTTACTTTTGATTCCTCTTCGTTTTATCAACCCTTCAACATTTTATTTAAATGTTATTGATATCCTGGGATGTAAAGATATGTTGAAACGTTAGGGAATTTATCACCAAAAGACCATAAAAAGACCAAATTCATCTACATCTACATCAGTAATTTCATCTTTGCTTCAGGTAGTGGGAAGCTTTATTTTGTTAGTAATTTCTTAATTCATCATAAATCATGAAATTAGAAATGTTTATACATATATATCCCTAAATTCACATCTGCATTATTTCAACCGCTTCAAGGAGAATGTTACGATTGATCGATTGTTGGTTGCTAACGTCCAGTATCAAATATTTCATGCTTGTTCAGGACGAGGACAAAATAACAGTAAATACAATATACAGGTGCTGTAATAGAGGACATCCGGGATGAAGGTTGTGAAAATTTAGACTGCCACTGCAAATTGAGGGTTAGTTGGATAGGGCAGACATTTTTCCTTGTAAGAGGCCACCTATAGACTCATCAAAGAATTGTTATTAGGGTTCTCTTAACGTGGAAAAAGCGTGGCACTCTCTTTACACGAGAAATTGGATTTAACGTGACGTGGCTGCGTACTTGTACATCCTACTCAGCCAAACGGTCGCCCCAGTGTGCCAAGGGTTTTACTGCCGGTCGGGAGATGACCTGTAGTGGCCATATTTCTATTCCCCTGACCCCCAAGGGTGACTGGGGCATAGAAGTATGGTCACCATTGGTCTTCCTCCGACCGGCAGTAAAACCCGTGCTAAAGTGGGGCGTCCGTTTGGCTGTGCGGGATGTACAAATTTGCAGCCACGTCCGGTCAGAATGGGGACGTTAAATCCGATGCCTCGTGTAAAGAGAGTGCCACGCTCTTTGCACGTTAAGAACCCTTGCAACAACTCTTTGAGGGGTCCGTAGGTGACCTGTTGTAAGGCTAAATTTCTGTCCCTATCCAATATACCCTCATTTCCCGTGGCAGTCTAAATTTCTCCGACCTTCATCCCGGAAGCCCCTATTACAGAACCTACTTATTGTATTTATTGTTAACTTGTTCTCGTCCTGAATATGCATGAAATATTTGCCACTGGACGTTAAGCAACCAACAATCAATCAATCAATCAATCTATTCCCCTGTCACCTTGGGGATGAAATTGTATGATAAGGCCACTTTACCACCTTTAATTCCTACTTATAACAATCATCAGATGTTCAAATGGACATCAGTATTTGCTTTTTGAAAAGGTGTCATTTATATTTGCATTACGAGTCTAAAACTTTTTACATGTAAAAAAAACTGCAATAAATACCCTACTCTTGATCTTTTCGTTAATAAATTGATATGAGAAACAGTAGAACGACATGTTGCAACTAATTGTATTTTACAAAGATGTTATGTTTGTATAACATCTTTCTTAGTAAAGCTGTTATTCATATGTATAAATATATATTGACGAAAACCTGTGTGAAATGAGCATATCAGGTCAAATATGTTAAGTGTAGTTCCCGAGGGAATCATGAGCTCAGTAATCAGTACTTCGGTACTGACATGATTTATATCAAATTATCTAGAATTGACAGTTTATAAATCTTAAAATTATACAGAAACTAAGGATTCAACCCCCTCAGGCAAAGTTGGCCTTAGGATGGATTTGGCTATTTTTAGGTCCTTTTTGGTTAAAAGCTCTTCAACGTGTTCGGTCCTTATACATCCTTGGCTTTGAAATATTCGACTATGAGCGTTCCTGATGAAGTTAAATCCAGAAAAGCGCTTCGGACCTATAGCTGGGGGAAAGCTATATTTATGAATACAACATTAATTTGAAAAACTTTTAAAAAACTATGTTTTATTCTTCTGAATTAAGAAACGTCTCCTTTCTTTGTTGTTCCCTTTGCATAAAGAGGAATATTCTAAGGACAGGACTGAAGAGTTATATCGCCATTAATATATGATCTAGAAAAAATGAAACCGGTTAAAAGATAAATATACGAAAGGAAAATATGTAAACAATGATATTACTTGGATTATGGTCATCCTGCTTGGTACTTATGTTCGCTCTGTCAGGAATCCGTGTAACCTGAAAAAAAAAAATAAAAAATAAAAATAACCTGAAAAAAAGAAATAATAATTTAAAAAAAAACCTACATAATTACAATGTAGATAAACCTTTCATAATGTTCTACTGATTATAAAATAAGAATGATTATTGAAATACGTAACCTATTAGAAGGTTATGCGAAATTTAACCTGTAAGATATTTTTAAAGAATTACATATAAACTAGTTTCAGATATAGTACTTGCAATTGCAACCTTATGCGTTACCGTTTCAGTGATAGTCAGTAGTCGTCAATCCGTCACCGATCAATCAATCAATCAAGTTCACATCACCAATCCATTTAACTTATAAGGAGACTACTGATTGATCGGTGTTAGGGGTTAAACTCAGATTATTACAACAGCTGGGGGACTTTTTGACCACGAGGTTAGCATTAGCCCAGTAGCCAGTACCTTGGTATTTGCATGAAAACCACGAATATTATTTTGATTTAAATTGTTGTTATTAAATTTCGAAATCATCTTAAAGCAAGGAATGTATCTCCTTCGTGTATAGCTATGATTCCTTGTCCAGGTTTGGCTTCATTTTGGTCATTTTGGTTTAGTCCCCACTTCGTCGTTTTGATAGGATTTTGTATTTTCAAATTGTTTGGCCTCGAGCATCGGTGAACAAACGTGTATGTCGAAATGCGCTCCTGGTGCAGTAAAATTAATACCGTTAATGTTGTTGGATCTTTACTTCTGCTGGAGGACCTTTCGTATCCGAGGGTATCGTTTGCCCAGTACTGGCATGGAAATACAGATATTTTTTTATTGGAATTTTTGTTAAACAATTTTAAATCATTTTGTATTAAAGAATGTTTTATCCTCATGCATAGCTCCTTATCCGAGTTTAGATGTACGTTTCGGTCTTTTTGGTTTTATCAGCTGTTACACGTTTGTAATCGGTTTTTGAATCTCAAGTATATATTGGTCTCGATCATCATTGATTGTCGAAATGCAGATCTGGTAGAGTTAAATTGGTACCGTTAATGTTAATTTGATTACTACTACTGGATTGATACATCTAATGGACTTTTAGTCCCCAAGGATATCTTGAATCCACTTGCCTGTACTTCAGACTGACTGATCGGTCTTCACGGATTGCACTCGATTTATTACTACCACCAGCTCGATACATATAACTGTGCGACTTTTTAGCCACGATCGATATATCTCCTAATGGTTTCTAAGTATACGAGGGTATAATTAGCCAAGTAACTAATACTTCGATGCTTGCAAGAAGTGATGGATATTGTTATATTACAATGGCTGTTAAAAAAATTCGGAATCGTGCATAGTTTTGGTTCCTTGTACAAGGAATGTATCTCCCTTATGCATAGTTCTAGTTTTGTTTCCTTGTACAAGGAATGTATCTCCCTCATACATAGTTCTAGTTTTGGTTCCTTGTACAAGGAATGTATCTCCCTCATACATAGTTCTAGTTTTGGTTCCTTGTACAAGAAATGTATCTCCCTTATGCATAGTTCTAGTTTTGGTTCCTTGTACAAGGAATGTATCTCCCTTATGCATAGTTCTGGTTCCTTTTACAAAGAATGTATCTCCCTAATGCATAGTTTTGGTTCCTTGTACAAAGAATGTATCTCCCTTATGCATAGCTCTGAATCCTTGTACAAGGAATTTATCTCCCTTATGCATAGTTCTAGTTTTGGTTCCTTGTACCAGGAATGTATCTCCCTTATGCATAGTTCTAGTTTTGGTTCCTTGTACAAAGAATGTATCTCCCTTAAGCATAGTTCTATTTCATTGTCCGGATTCGGCTTTACTTTTTGGTCCTTTTAAGATTATCAGCTCTTCAACGTTTGTATTATGTTCAGCATTACAGAGGAGACGCTAATTGTCGAAATGCGCATCTGGTGCTGTAAAATTGGTATGTTTAATGTGAACGTTCCTCATACGTCATCGTTGAGCTTTTGCACATAAAAAGGTACATTTAGAGTGCCCAAGAAGAAGTCGCGCCAATAACAGGTCTGTAGAAGACTCATTTCCATCATTGCTTTACTCGATTACTATAGTTTAAGCTTATTTATATTTTCATAACCACGCAATACAATACAAACTTAACTGTTGTCAACGAGAGGCAAACAGTACCAAAGGGATATTCAACTCATGTAAAATCGAAAAGAAACTGACAATGCCATGGCAAAAAACGACAAAAAGACAAACAAGAGTACAAACAACACAACATAAAAAACTATGGACGGAGTAACACAGACCAAACATAAAAACGTGAAGTTGTTCTCGCTCTGGAAGGATAATATGTAATTAAAATCCGTTTTGGACAACCGCTTGAAATAATCGTAATTTTAATAATTGGACTAATATCAGCAGACCAATAATGTGCATATATACACTTCTAATTATTGGACCCTCCAATCAATAGACCATAAATGCTTAAAAGGCATTGTCATCAATAATAACATGAGAAAATATGATAAGATATTGTTGCCCCTTACAACAAATGTAATAAAAATGTACAGGATGTTCCGACAGATTGTTAACGTTGTCTCGGCAACCATTCAGCCTTTAGTTCACCTTAGGAATACACGTTATATTTGTAAGATTTTCTTACTTAAAGTGAATTATCAACTTTTTAATGATTCTACATGTGTCGTAAATAATGTTTGAATAAGATTTTTGCATTTAACGCAAGTAGCGATCTCTAAAATCTGCACAGTAGTATGGAAACTATATCAACTGTGAAAATTGACGATGAGCACAGAAACGACATACGCAAGTAAATATTAATTACTTCCGGAGCATCTGCAATCACCCCTGGATTCTGGTGGGGTTTGTGTTGCTCCGTTTTTAGTTTTCTATGTTGAGTTTTGTATACTGTTTATCTCTTGGTTTTTTTTTTGCCATATCTTTGTAAGTATGTCATTGACATGTGAGTTTGTTATAATCATACTTTTAATTTAGCATATGGAAAGCTTTACACTTGAAAAAGGTTTACAAAACATTTGCGTAAATTAAGGATGCCGTGCAACTTTTCGTAAATAAACGGTATGTGTATCAAGTTACGTGCAAAACCCATTTACATGATGGATAAAAATATGTAGATTGTAATGTTTTGTTCGCAGCATGATAAGTTTCTATTTAACGTCCAGCAACAAGTATTACACATACATGGTAACAGAAATAAATTTAAAGTCAGTTAACATACAGTTCATTATGCTACCATTGTTACCGTCTTTTTAAAAATTTTCCCATTTGTGTGTCGAGGAGAAGTGATTATGCATTCACTGCAAAGTCATCAGATCCAAAATGAATAATTTGTATCTGAATTTTTATGAATTTTGTGTTAACATTCTGAAAAAAAAAATTCTAAACAGTAAAGATTAAAAATTTACAAAGACACTATAGCACGTAATCAAGAAGATTAACAACGCCAGTACCTAGAATCTATACTTCAAGACCATCATGTATTTTTTGTGAAGTTAAGTTGACGCCGTATTTAATTTTTCATCGGAAACAAGATTTTTTCATCTTCCATTTGAAAAAAAAAGTTTTTATTTTCAAAACATCTGATATACTCTGATGTGCACATGTCACAAAATATGACAATGTATATTTGATATATAGATATAAGAAGATGTGGGATGAGTGCCAATGAGAAAAATAAACCATTTTAGGTCAAAGTACGGCCTTCAACACAGAGCCTTGGCTTACACCAAACAGGACGCTATAACGGGCTCCAAAATGACAAGTATAAATCAATTCAAACAGGAAAACCAACTGTCTAATCTATATACAAAAATACACGTTACGAAATATGAAAATGCATGTTTCATATGCACATGCCACAAATATTAAAATGGATAATATGTTGCCACATCACCATCCTCCCTATTATCATAACAATTATCATTAACATTATTGTTACCATTATTATTATCATCACCATTTTCAATAAAATTAGCATTACAATTACCATTTGATACAGACAATGCTAATTAGGTTTTGCTAATTTGGCTTGCCATCTTAAAATTAACTCTTAAAAGTTCCCGGGAGAGAAAGAGAGAGGGGGTGTACTACAGCAAACATTCAGACAGTTGATAATATACGTATCCAGACAGAGTTAAGACTGTTTACAATGTGTCTAGACAATATCAGACAGAGGTAAGACTGTTTAGAATGTGTCCAGACAATATCAGACTGAGTTAAGACTGTTTAGAACGTGTCCAGACAATATCAGACTAAGTATAGACTGTTGGGGAATCCAAATGATAATCTAAGCAATTTTTAAAGATGTCATTTTAAAAACATACCTTATTATTCATCCAAGGCGAATATATCTGGTTAGATCGATGCATTTGCTTATGTTGAGTACAGAAACACTCCTTCTCACTTGTCAATTTCTCATATTCAAATGTGTCTTGAAAATAATAGCCATCACTGCATTTGAAATGGAGTTTAAACGATATTTTCACCTTATATCTCTCTTTTATATCTTCAATTAGTTGTTTCACTTCTCTGTAGATATCACTGCACGTGCTTCCGAATCCCTCCTCTTCGGAAAACGACACGAGCTGAATAGCAATTGTATCAGTCGACATAGTAACTAGTATCTTTGTACCACCAGATCCATCAATGTCAAACATACAGATGCCACGATATAAAGCAATACCACCCTCTACTTTGCTAGAGTAGTAGTTTCTGATAAACCAGGCAGATAGATGGTTAAAGAAAGAAGGTGGGAGAAATTCAAATTTAAAACAAAGCCAAGAAGTCCTTTTACATTTTTGTGTAAGAATGTCAAATTTTTCACATACAACATCAAACGTGGAGGGCGGCATCATGCTTGGCATTATATAATTTGAGTTACCAATTTTGACCAATATATCAAGCTTTTCCATAACTGCATGCAAATTATTTGTCTGTTCTGAAAACTGACTTCCATCTTTTGATTTGAACAGTTCTGTTATTAACGATTCGCTTATTTTGCCTTGTCGTATAAACAGTGTCCAGTCCTCATGGTGATGCAATCTTCTGTTTTCAACTCTATCTGAAACTAAACATCGGAAAGCATCTGCTAACCATTGGGGTCTTAATATGATTAAATCCGGTATATTAGCAAAGAAAATTATGTTCCCTACGTTATGCTGAAATCGAAGAAACAACAACAAATCCTCCTTTTCTAGAATATTGATATCTGGATGTTTAGCCAGATTTGACATATCAGTAAAGTTGATGAAATGCTTGTTATCGTTCTTATTAATTTCAATCAAATGTTCTAAAAGAATCCATTTTAACGGAAAAGCATTACCCCAATTTCCCATTTTCCGTGCAGTATCGTAAATTGCGTATTGCAACTTCTCAAATTCTGTGTCACTGTCATTTGTATTTGACAGATAAAACTTGTTGTGCAAGTGATGATATTTGCTTTGAAATCCAAGAACTTGGTCTATTTGATCATTGAGTTCCTTTTCTCTCTTCTTAAAATCTGCCTACAGAAAATAGATAAAAGAATCAGCAATTGTCATGATTGATACTATATCAACAATTATTGAGAAGATTTAAATAGATTATGAACCCAAATATATATAAGTTTCATTACAACGTATCACTACCTTTCATGGCAATTATAAGGACAATTTATGGGCCTTCTATATCTTACTATACTGCATGGGTATTTATCGTTGTTAAAGGCCGTATCAAAACCCCTTTTATTCATATTGTGTTGCTTTGTACAAATGGATAGTTTTCCCTTTAAAAATCATACCATATTTTCTTATAAAACCCACAATATTTGACTGGGGCATACATTTATAGTAATACCGTTGTCTTCTACCGACTGGCAGTAAACCATTTGCCAAAGTGGGACGTTCGTTTGGCTTAGCAGGTTGTATCAAACGGCGTCCAGTCAGAACGGGGTCGTGCAGTTCGATGAGTCATGTAGAGAGCACAGAGGTCTCTGCACATTACGAACACTTGCATCAACTCTTTTTAGGGCCCATACAATAGCCTGTTACCAGGCTAAATTTCTGTTTCAATCTTCATAACCCCACTTCGCAGTGGCTTTGAAATTTTTAAAACCATCAAATCGGTTGACACCGTATTTGATGACTTACCTGTTTTATTGTTATTTGTTCTAGTTCTGAACCTGCATGAAATATTTGAAACTGGGCGTCAAATAAACAACAACGAATTAATCCCTTATAAACAAAGAATATGCATATTTCTAAATCATTTTTTTTGGGCAATCTCATTCAAGTCATGTCATCTTCTCTCCATTAGACGTCCTTTTAGGGTATTGGAATCTTAAATTTAATTTCAATTGAAACCAATAACATGTAAGAAAAAAAATGGCACATTGTTGAACCTTTATCCTTGTCTTGATATACATGCCATATTTTCCACTGGACCATGAATACCAATTCATCATTCCTAACATGTTAAACATATACACATCACCTGAAATTAACGTTGTAAATTTCCAACAGGGAAAACTGTTAACCCTTAAAAGAACAAAATTGAGAGGCGTTACGCATTCCTCAAGATAGGTTTGCTTTTTTTGTAAAAAAAGTATTAACTTTGTTATGCCTAAGACAAAAAAACTCATATAGATTTTACTTTTTATTAAACTCTTTAATGGGTCCTTATGTAGCCTGTAGCGAGGCAAAATGCATGTTCCTGTCCAACAAACCAATGTTTTTCAGTCCTAAGTCCCCAAGCTAAATCCCTTTTGTCTCATATAGCAGAACATATATATTTGTACTTTATTTATTGTTTTGTTTGTGAATATGCATGAAATAAATGTCACTTGACGTTAATCTGGCAACGATTATTTCAACGGATTTTTGTTTGTTCATAATTTGTTGTGTTAAGCTATTGTCCAAGGTTTGTGTTAAATTGAGCGCCCATAAGCACGTTTAAGATCAAACATGCTTAATGTGCCTGTTAAAAGGAAGGAGTCCAGTTGTTGTTTATAATTATCGTTTCAGTTATTGTTGTGTTATAACTAATGTATAGGTAACCATTTCTAGTAGGTTTTGCTAACAATAATTTTTGATCTTCTATGGATGGACGTCTCATTAGCAAATATTTCTTTGATGACATTCCGATCAAGAACGGATGATACTAAATGAAACCATGTACATGACTGGTATGGAAGTGAGGAACAGCGTTCTACAATTGTATTACCTTGTCATATTTATCCTTTCCAGTGAAAACTAATAAAATCGGAGGATCGAAGTGGCCATACCTAGCTGGTTTGTCGGTTGTTCGATGACAATGGATAGAATCAAACCAAAAATCAACATATTCTGAAATATATCAACAGTGTTTAATAAATAATGTTTTGAGACCAAATAGGATACTTTGAATATATGTACCCTAACACTGACTGTCTTAACACTAAGCTTTTGATTTTGACATTTGAGAAGGAACTTCCCGTTTTATTTATTTTTTTTTTTATTTTACTTTCTATTACTTGTTGACATGATCACAACATTAGGACATAATTAAGGTAACTTGTATTTCAGATATTGAAACACTTTAATAAAACATGTTTTTGTTTTATTATAAGACCCAACTGGATGAAACTTTATGAAAATGTTACTTGGTATGCCTAGATGGACAGACAATATTTAGAAATTCCAAAATTGCTGCCATAATCATGGAAACAGGGCGAAAGATAAACATTGACCCTAAGGGAATATACATTAAAGCAGCAGTTTCTTCAAAGAATATTACAAACAAAACTATATGGTTATGTAACCTGTCATGTGCCAATGTGGTATCTGTCTTTGGAATGTTTAAAATGGTCACCGTGACCATTGAAACAGCAAAACTATAAAAAATTTCAAAATGCTCCAAACTTCATGAAACTTTACAACAATTTTAATTGGCATGTGAAGATGCGCTGTTTGACTTTGGAATTTTCAAAATTGCTGCCGTTACCCTGGCAATAGGGGAACGGTGCCATCCGTTATTGCTCTCAATTACAAATCTAGTTGCATTTGAATTTCTTACATGAAAACATACCTCCAATATGCTGAAAATCGGCAAAACACTGACCCAATCCTTGTTTACTTATGTCGTCCTTCATATCTGCAACTACAAGGTATACTGCACTACTTGTTAAAAATGCTTGATGTGTAGCATAAAATTCTTTTTGTCCTGCAAAGTCCCATAATTCACATAATGCATAAAGGTTTGAAGGAGAATTAACAGTTGACTTGGAAAACATATTTGACATCAAATCCTCAGGCATTACCAATGATGAAGACTTATTCGTTTCTTTATTGTTATCCAGATTAATCTTTGCGTCGCTAGTGATATCCTCAGGCATTACCAAAGATGAAGACTGGTTCGTATCTCCTTTTTTATCCAGATTAACTTTTGATTTTGCTTTGAAATCCTCAAGCATTACCAATAATTCAGACTCATTTGTATCTTCACTTTTATCCCGAATAACCATTATGTCGGTTGTGGTGTCTTTTTTATAGGTAGATATATCATCACCATGACTTATATTTATATTTTTTCTCTCATCTACCTCAATATTTTCAGTGTTTCTGTCCTCGGCATTTGGAATCAGTGCTCTCTTAATCCGGCTCACTTTATCATCGGCAATTTCTGGCAGGAAAAAAAAAATAGAAAAAAAAACAATACTACCTTGTACAACAAGTTACAAGGCTATCTATTGGCAGTAGTGGTAGTTTCCCATTCCATCCATACGGTGTTTTTAAACTTTATTGTATTGGTCCATTAGAATAGTTCAATGCAGTTTTTATTACAGTTTAGGCGAATAGAAACATTACTTGAAATGAAAATGTTGTGCTTTGACGTTTCCCTACTTAAATGGTTGAAATATCCCAAGTGAAAAAAAATGAAAACAACACTTTTTATAAATTATAGTTCGTCCGAAGCGCTTTTCTGGATTTACCTTCACCAGGAACGCTCAACGCCATATATTTGAAAGCCAAAGATGTATAACAACCGAATCAGTTAAAGAGCTATATGAAAAAAGTAAAATTACAAAAATACCGAACTCCGAGGAAATTTAAAACGGAAAGTCCGTAATCACCAGAAGTACTTAAAATAGTCAAGTCATATGTCACTTTACCTGAGGGAGTTGAAACCTCAGTTTCTTTATAATTTCTAAATTTATAAACGGACAATTTTAGAAATGTTATAAATCATTTCAGTACCGAAGTACTGACTACTGAGCTGATGAATCCTCTCGGGTTAATAGTCAACCAGCAGAGGTATCGACACAGTGCTAATAAAAATGAAAACAACTCGTTATAAAATTAATGCTTCCATAACGCAAACTCGGGTATAGAAATATGTCCAGCTTGTCACTTAAAACTTCTCTTAGAAAGGCGTTCGTTCTACTGTACAGGGTGTATAAGTTCGTAGCCATGTGTGACAAGAAGGGGACATTTAATAACATAAACGGTACCAATTTTTCTGCACAAGTTGCGCATTTTGACAATTATTGTCTCTTCAGTGATTCTCGAGGCCAAAATATTTTAAAATAAACAGCTTATTAAAAAAGTTAAAGAGCTATAAACCAAAAATAAACACCAAAAAAAGTATAGCCAAAGCCGGGCTATGATTCAGAGCTTTGCATGAGGGAGATACATTCCTTAATTTTAAATAATTTCCAAAATTTTGTAACAGCAAATTTTAATTACAAAAAAGCCGTAAAACTGGGCTGGTGATACCTTCGGGGACTATCAGTCCATTAGTTAATCTGATGTATCGTGCTGAGAGGGTACACGATTCACTATATAAGACTTGCTCCAGCTCAGTGGCATAACATTGCTGTTAATATCCATCATAGCATTGTTTTTCAGTGGCAGTCCATTCCCTCGCCCTTCATGCCAGAAGTCTCACCATGCCTAATATTCATATTGTATTAATTGGTAATAGTTCTTTTCTCAAATATGCATAAAATAATTGCAACTTGACGCCAAGCAAGCAACAAAAAACTCGATTAACGAACAGTTGAAATGCTTTACATTTTATATGTCTATATTTTTATCATTAGACATCATGAGGCCATAGTATTGGGATACCTATAACATGTATAAAGTGTTTGAAAGATAATGGTTATAAACAAATGTGAAAAAGTGCAGTACAGGGTCAGTCTAACACCCCTCTTAAAATGCCAACATGATCTGATTGGATAATTTTCAGGGATCCATAACGCAGTGAAACTGTAGGATTTTTGACACGTAATTGCAGTGTACTTAAGCTTAAAATCATTGAAGAAGATTCATTGATAAAATCTGACAAACAAATTATGCGAGGAAACTGATTTCGATAGGTCAAGATGAGTCCGTGCCCTTTTAAAATATAATGTAAACCTGCCACTAGACGAAACGTGCGTGTGGCGTATTAAATTATAAGCCTGGTACCTTTGATAACTATTTTCACCACTGGGTCGATGCCACTGCTGGTGGACGTTTCGTCCCCGAGGGTATCACCAGGATGCCGAGATCGTTGTCATTTGTAATTTAAGATAATACTTTTAAGGGCATGCGATACAGTTACAGGGGAGGTAACGGCGTTGCTGACGTAAATTTGTTTTGCCTCTTCTCTATTAGCAATTGACAGTTCACTAATTTTATTCAAAACAGACGTAAATAGTAAATAACCACGAGTATTCTTTGTGATATATCGCAATTTTTATACGTACCAATTAATTTTGAAGTTTGATATTTGCGATTAACCATTAAAGGCTATACTTAAAACAATCTTCACTTGAAATAGACTTTTATTTTGTGTTTTAAGTATATATAAAACAGGTGTAATCAATTGTGGATTTTTTTCTGTAAACTGATAATCATTATGAATCACCAGTGAGTATGCATTTCATACTCCTGTATATGAAGTCCGTATTATTTTGTGTTTTAAGTATATATAAAACAGGTGTATTCAATTGTGGATTTTTTCCTGAAAATTGATAATCATTATACGGACTTTGATAATCACTATACGGACTTCATATACAGGAGTGTGCTCCAACAAAGTTATGAGGAGGACAGATTGAAAATGACACTCCGTAAATTTTACGGACACCATCACGAATTGGTTAGTCCATACGATGTGTCTTTGTTCAAACTAACTAAGGACATTTTTACCACGTGTTAGATTGTGGTTTGTCATTACGTCGTCTGATCTTTTAATTACCGAACGTGACTTATTCCCGATTGTGACTGTTTTGCTGAGTGTGAAACCGCATTGCTATAAGACGTGTCACGGTACCTTTCTATCCCAAATTCATGTATTTAATTTTTATGTTATATTTGTTATTCTTGTCGGATTTTGTCAAATGTCTTAAAGTCTTTACTGTTATATTCGTGTGTTATGGTAAAGATAATTAATCACCCCCTTCATTTATTAGCTTTTAGTTTGGTTCAACGAAATTATTCTAAATAATAAGGATGTTCTTGTCCCAGGCAGAAAACCCTGGCCGTGTTAGGCGCAACTTTTTGGAAGTTTTGGTCCTCGGTGCTCTTCGGCTTTGTACTTGTTTTGGCTTTCAAGCTTTTTTCATCTGAGCTTCACTGGATGGTCTTGTGTGGACGAGACGCACGTCTGGCGTATTGAATTTTAAGCCTAGTACCTTTTGTTTGCTATTATTTGTGTGTTTCTTTTTCCTATATGTTCTCCCATTTATTTGTATTGTGGTCCTGTCATGTGATGTTGTCGTTTTGGTGTTGTGTTGACGTTGCCATTAAAGCGGGAGGTTTGGCATGCCACAAAACCAGGTTCAACCCACCATTTTTTTCTTAAAATGTCCTGTACCAAGTCAGGAAAATGGCCATTGTTATATTATAGTTCGTTTTTGTGCGTGTTACATTTTTAATGTTGTGTTTTTGTTGTGTCGTTGTTCTCCTTTTATATTTGATGCGTTTCCCTTAGTTTTAGTTTGTAACCCGGATTTGTTTTTGTCTCTATCGATTTATGAGTTTCGAACAGCGGTATACTACTGTTGCCTTTATTTACCTTTGCCGATTATCCATTTTCCATCTCTTATGTTGATTTTGCATCTACGAACAACAATATCAACACCATCTGTACTCGATACACCAGATATGTCTTCCTTCAATAATCTCCTCAAGAGACACGTTTTTCCTGTCGATTCCTTTCCGACTATCATAATTCTAACAAAATACCTGTTTTCTTTTTTTTCAGTTTGCATAAGCTCATTGTATCTGATTTTATCTTCCTCTGATAAATGGTTTATGGCTTCTGGAAAAACTGAAAAAGTATATATTTGTGACGTGATGTTTGAGAATAAATATAGAAAATGATATAGTCTTAGTAAAACAAAAAGGTGTTCATTAGCAATCGCAAAATATACACGAACAAACACGTTGAACAGAAAATAGACGTATCTTATTAGTTATTTTTCTCATTCTATCGTATATGAAGTAATCTATTAAATGATATAGAGCTAACTCTTGAAAATATACATAATCTATTTATAATAATTATTTTGGTTAGCTTATTTGAATGGAGATTTGTATGTTGTATTATAAACATGCGTTTTTTGATTAATATGAAACTATTATACTTTTCACTTTAAAACTAAAAATCTAAAAATCTAATTTACTATAGGGTAAATTATATATGCTCCAACCTCAATAGTTTTTTTTTTTAAACTTTCAATAACCCAATAAAAGATTAGAATCACGTTTACTAAATAGGTTATGCTGTTATTTGTTGGTTTCGCATTGAAAACTAACAACAATGTGCCCCAACATGGCAACAGCAAAGACTACAGATAAACTATTTGACAAAACATCAAAACTTTAGAAAAATGAGACGGAAAAGCCGTATTTACTTCCAAATCTTTTTGGTTTGTTGATTAAATTGAATAAGTTACAGTATAACATGTACTATAACGTCATCAAATACACCATTTTGAAAGTTTGAGACACAAAATGCGCTAACAACAGTCGAAGCTATCAAAGGTACAAATTTCCTTCCAAGAAAGGCGGACATTTTGTATATCTAAAGAACAAGATGACAAATATGTATCGTCAATATGGTTTCAGTCAAATTGTCAACTAAACGTCATCAGTGGCGCTCCAGAGGCCTCGGTGGCCAAATGGTCTAAGAAGTTCTACTTCTGTAATCACTAGCCAGTCAACACTGAGGTTGTGAGTTCAAACCCCGCTCGTGCGGGTGCACTCGACTCCAATCTTAATTCACTAGGATTGTCAGTTTTCCTATCGAAGGTCGGTGGTATTCTCCGGGCACTCCGGCTTCCTCCACCCATAAAAACTGACCGCCACGAAATACCCCAAAAGCGGCGGTAAAACACCAACAATCAATCAATCAGTGGCGCTCAAATCCAAACAGTTGGGAAGTCAAATAAAACACAAATACTGTTAATTTAAAGCAGAATGAATTGTCAACACAAAAGTGCTTACTACTAGGCTGGTGATTTTGTGGGGAACTAAAAGTCAACCTGCAGGGACATCCAAACGGTTTTAAAAAAAGAAAACATCAAAGATTAATGATTTGGCACAAACGCGACCACTTCCACTTCCACTTCAAAATTACCTTTTCCAGACCTTCTCCTTTGTTCGTTTTCTTTAAAAAGAATCGTAAATCGAAAAAATGTATGCGCACGATAGTGTCGATAATAGAATTAATTTGCCAATTTAATAAATTATCATTATACCATAAATATAGATAAAAATGTTCTATTTACAATACCTTGACCAGAAATTAAAAATAAAATTACGGCATCTTGAAACAATCAACTTCTTGTTTTATGGCATGTACTATCATTTCTTCAAGAAACTGACAAAATCAGTACGCATGCCCTCTATGTACGTTTTCATATTTTACGTACAGTATAATTATCTGTCTTTTGTGCATCAAAAATTATTTACATGTGTGGCTTTCTTTACTTACGCAAAGAACTAAATTAAAACAGACATAGAAACGTAAATTATAAACATGTGAGTATTACCTCGTATTAACAAAGAGCTAACAAAATATATAGAAAGGTAAGTAAACACATGTGTGTCTTACATCTTAGTTAAACAACGGGCTAAAACAGATATAGAAAAGTAAAGCATAAACAAGTCTGTCTGACTTCTTATTTAAAAAAAAAACTTACAAAACAGATATAGAAAAGGAGAGTATAAATATGTGTGGCTTACTTCTTATTAAAACAAGTAACTAAAAACAGATATAGATAACTATAGTGTAGACATGTGTGTCTTACTCTTTATTTAAACAGAGAGCTAAAAATAATTATACAAAAGTAAAGTACAAACGAATACATAGTTAAAGTGTATGCACTTACTATTAGGAAGTTTGATACATCTTCTCAATTGTCGCCGATTTGTCAGTAGAATAATACAAACAACGCCTGAAAAATATAAAGTTTCATGTTCGGAATAGATTTGTTATTGTATATAGAATAGAACTACCAATGTATCTTTATTTGAATTCAATATGAAATCGGTTGTGTCCTTATTACTTTATTCTGTTTCACATTCAATGTTTATTATATGTTTTCATAAGTATCCGGAACAAATCGCACTGGACCGATTGCTTACGTCACCATATTTATTGTACTACGCGACTGCCTTTAATTAATCTGTGACACCGTCTGCTCCAGTATTTCAACACATGTTTCATGGACGATATTTAATATTCTGAGGAAATCGAGACATACCACTGTCAAGTACGTTTGATTCGTTCATAAACTGTGATAATGAAATCTGTTTAAATCCGTTAATTTGTATAAGTGATTTGATAAATGCATACGAACTGTAAGTTATTTATATCTGATATTTGAACTGTAAATTCCATTTTCGTTTTCATTTGATTGTTTATATAATATTTGCATTTAAACTTTTAATATGTTCAATTCATACACATTGTAAGTATTGCTTTTTGTTTTATTGCAGTTTTACCAATACACTGACTACTGTAACCTTTTTGGTGGAATATCATAATTACAATTTTCCAAATAAGTTGTTTTCTTTATATATTCGCCGAGATTGCGATTCTGTCACTTGGTTATACCTACTGGTCCGGCCAGTACAACTTTCAATCAAAGAAGTATATTTATTAATTACCTTTGTTGATTAATTCGTGCGTCATTTTTTGACCTATGAACATAACCTTTATGAAGAATCTCTTACGAAAACCATGTTGATAAATAACAGACAAATAGGACACGCAGATCGTTATTAAAGGTTAATTCAATCTGTGAACAATGTTCTCGTTTTTCACTACATATTTAAACATCAATCTCTAAAAAAGAAATGTTGGCAAACACAAAGATTGAGTTTATTGAAGTTATTTCAAATTATTAGTGACATAAATCACATTAGAAATCGTTGTTTATTTGATATGCAAAACCACAATTACTGGCAGTGATGTGAGAGTGTTTGCTCCGTCTAAAAGCCTCGTTGTGACTTGGAGATGGAGAACTGCAATACAAGTGCTGTTCCATCACTTTTTGTATTGTTTGCTATGCGTTTACTGATTTTGTGTCATGGATGGATAACCATATCCTTTTTAGCTCACCTGACCTGAAAGGTCAAGTGAGCTTTTCTCATCACTTTGCGTCCGTCGTCCGTAAACTTTTACAAAAATCTTCTCCTCTGATACTACTGGGCCAAATTTGACCAAACTTGGCCACAATCATCATTGGGGTATATAGTTTAAAAAATATGTCCGATGACCCCGCCAACCAACCAAGATGGCCACCATGGCTAAAAATAGAACATAGGGGTAAAATGTAGATTTTGGCTTATATCTCTGAAACCAAAGCATTTAGAGCAAATCTGACATGAGATAAAATTGTTTATCAGGTCAAGATCTATCTGCCCTGAAATTTTCAGATGAATCGGACAACCCGTTGTTGGGTTGCTGCTCCTGAATTGGTAATTTTAAGGAAATTTTGCCGTTTTTGGTTATTATCTTGAATATTATTATAGATAGAGATAAACTGTAAACAGCAATAATGTTCAGCAAAGTATGATCTACAAATAAGTCAAATTGACCAAAATGGTCAGTTGACCCCTTAAGGAGTTATTGCCCTTTATAGTCAATTTTTAACCATTTTTCGTAAAAATTTTTAATCTTTTACAAATATCTTCTCTGAAACTACTAAGACAAATTTAACCAAAATTGTCCACAATCATCATTAGGGTATCTAGTTTAAAAAATGTGTCCGATGACCCTGCCCGCAAACCAAGATGGCCGACATGGCAAAAAAATAATACATAGGGTAAAATGCAGTTTTTGGCTCATATCTCTGAAACCAAAGCATTTAGAGCAAATCTGATGGTATAAAATTGTTCATTAGGTCAAGATCTATCTGCCCTGAAATTTCAGACCAATCGGGCAACATGTTGTTGGGTTGCTGCCCTTGAATTGGTAATTTTAAGAAAATTTTGCAGCTTTTGGTTATTATCTTGAATATTATTATAGATAGAGATAAACTGTAAACAGCAATAATGTACAGCAAAGTTAGATCTACAAATAAGTCAACATGACCAAAATTGTCAATTGACCCCTTAAGGAGTTATTGCCCTTTATAGTCAATTTTTTACAATTTTCATAAATTTTGTAAATTTTTATAAATTTTTACAAAATATTTTCCACTGTAACTACTGGGCCAAGTTCATTATAGATAGAGATAAAAGTAAGGAGCAAGAATGTTCAGTAAAGTAAGATCTACAAACACATCACCATCACCAAAACACAATTTTGTCATGAATCCATCTGTGTCCATTGTTTAATATGCACATAGACCAAGGTGAGCGACACAGGCTCTTTAGAGCCTCTAGTTTTTTCTATTATGTAATTTAAACTACAAAAAAAAACGCTTTTATGATACTTAGTGAATAACATTGTAACACTCACGGAAGAATAGTGTAAAATTCCTACAACACCTATAACGTCGTAATTGATGAGTGTTCACAGATATCGGAAATTATTGTGATATTTTTAAGTATGTATTTATTTGGGTTTTTTTATATAATGAATGCTTATTACAGGATAATGTGAGCGACTTTCAAATACACGATCACATCAACCCCCTGGTTGGACTATTTTATTGATGAATTATTAATTTATAATTATTCTCGACATGCACCATACAAACTATTTCCAAAAAAACCTTTAATGCTTTGTACATTTGCATTATCCAATGCACGATTAAGACAGAAATAGAAAACTATTTTTCCGAAACCTCCTTTAATTATAATGTTCATATATTTTATAGTACTTACAGGATGCTAATGACAATGTCAAAACCCATTGAAATGCTTCGATGTGATATTTATCTGTAATTATACAAAATAAAGCTGATGCAAGTTTTTTTTCTATTTAACGATATTTCCATTGTCGATTTTTCATTAAGGAATAATTTTATTAACTTTCATATTATATTAACTAATCATACTGATAGTTGAAATCATAAACTATTTTCAATTGAATATTTAATTTAATGTAGATGTCTCTGCACTATATAAAACTAAGGAGATGTTGTATGATTGCAAATGAGACAACTATCAACCCAAGTTCAAATGAAGTGGATGTAAGCAATTATAGACAACCGTACTGCCTTAAACAATGAGAACAGCCCAAACCTATGTTCGCTGATAAAAAGGGTATTACAGATCTATACTTTGTTTTATCATAAATTATGAAGCAAGTACCCTACCAAAGCTTTCTGAATATTTTTTATATATGTGTCTTATTTTCTTTATAGTTTATAAACTGCAAAACATCAACTATATTGTCTTCAAACTACTTGTATAACTATTGATTGATCCTTCTTCTAACAGGTTTCAACTTACAATAGTTTAGGTTGTAGTTGTAGTTGTCAAATTCAATGATCTTAATTTTCCGTGATATATTAAACCTTTAAAAAAAACATATACATGGTTATTGTCGAAGAGATTTGCGCTCAGAAAAATATTGACAAAAATATATAAAATTCAACTGTAATGATGTGTATAACTCCCCATGATTGCTTCGCAAGGAAGCTATAAAACCAAGAGTTCCAAATGGTGAAGTTGAAATCATCCCTTCGTAAATTTTACGGACGCCATCACGAGTTGGTTGACCGTTATGGAATAACCGTTTCACAGATGATATCGGATATGTTCCTTATGTCGTTACTACAATACCCTTCCCTTTTCACGAATGTGACCTACCGAATTAGACTATTTACCGGATTTGAAATAAAATAAGCAACACGACGGGTGCCACATGTGGAGCAGGATCTGCTTACCCTTCCAGAGCACCTGAGATCACCCCAAGTTTTTGGTGGGGTTCGTGTTGCTTAGTCTTTAGTTTTCTATCTTGTGTCATCTGTACTATTTATTGTCTATTTGTCTTTTTATTTTTGGCCATGGCGTTGTCAGTTTATTTTCGATCTATGAGTTTGACTGTCCCTCTGGTATATTTCGTCCCTCTTTTACCGCTAACAAAATCTGAATTAGTTTTTATCGACGTTTCTTTTATGAATTACACAGAAGTTAAAGTATGTAGTTTTTGAAATTTCAGGAACTTTTCGTCTTGAGAATAACTGATGCACCTGTATTCATTTTGGTATTGGTATACAGAAATCTAAACTTTGAAATATATATTCATTTTCGCGTCAATTAGACATACTTAATATATATAGATATATGAATATTAATGTATAGAAATAAATGAATATAACAAAGACATGATTCGAGGGATAATCAAACACTAACCTATCTCCTAAGTAACGACTTCCTGTCCTTTTCGTGTCATCGTAACATTTGATATCTGAGAAATATAATTGAGAAACTTGTTTTTCTTATGAAATATTTGCACTTCTGTGGGTGGTGTACACATTTTTTCCGTCAGTTGTAATGGTCGGTAGCAAATTAGTTTGCACACTCTCGATTAACAGCATATATACTAAAATTCACTTAATTGATTTCATTTCAACTATAACAGTGTATTGTTTTTTTGTTGTTTTTTGTTGTTTATTCAAGTTGTTAATTATTTTATATTTGTATGATACTAGTACGTTTCTTATTAAATCATTGTATAAATGTTAATGAGGCATGATTAAAAAAAAAACAAGCTCAAATCTATATAAACAACTTTTGTGAAACATTTACCGACAAAAAGTTAACCCAAAGTAAAGATATCAGAATTTAAAAAAAAAACATTCAAATTTAATAAATTGTTAGATTTAATCTAAAGATGAAATAGTTCCTGTTTGTTGTAAAGAGTTTTTTTATAGAGATTTAAGGTTAATGAAGCTTAAGTCAATGGGCTGCTAAACTTTACCATGTCGCTTTAATAAAAAAAAACAATAGAAGATCTTTTAAGCATCATCAATAAAGAGACAGCTCCATGGTTTTTTGAAATATTGATAGTCTATAAATCTGGCAAAAAAAAATTTGTACTTTACCGTTCAGTCCAACCGTTTTGTTGTATTGGTTTATTCCGAGATAACAGGAACAATCGTCAGTAGAAGGATTGCAGTAACATTGGTTTTTTGAGTTCATGACAAAAGTATATCCTCTATCAGTATTACACATACATTTTATGTCGACCGTAGTGTTGCCGTATTCATACGTCTCTTGACCTATGCTGTTACAAAGTGATTTTTGATAGGTGCAGTCACTGTTTCCAATTGTGTAAAATATGAAAGGCTGATATCGAGTTGCACTGCATGTTGCTTTGTTTAAGTTCGGCTGAAAGACGTATTTATGACCTGCAAATGTTAAGTAAAGAAATATTCAATGAACATGCGTCTCAAATTTCTTGATTAATGGTTATATAGTTTAAGTTATATTTCGCTGGATTTGTCACTTCTTAATCCAGATAAATGCACTTAAATACATTCACAACAAAGTTACTTCTGTTACATCGTAATAAATAAAAACGACTTTTATTAATTGAAGAAACTTTCTTTTTTAAACATTTTCATTATTTGAAAATAAAGTTATTTTTTTACATAAATAAAAAAAAACGTTCATTGTTTGCTCTAATAAAGCTAAAAAAAATAAAAAAAAATACATACTATTGTATTAACAGGGAAAACTTTTAGATATCTTCTAAGACTTACCACGATCTAATATTCTAGGTCTGTTACATATTTCTCTGTATACATTCACTCGAAAAGTTATATCAAATAAGCAAGTATAATTTTTTGGAGGCTTACACATGGCTTTTGCCCGAATATTCCAGTGTGCCTGTGATGGACAGGTGAAGTTGTAGGCTTCATTAAAGGATAACATCTAAAAAAAGATAAGTGCATATACATCAATAGTTTAAGCAAGTATTCCATCAAAATTGTATTTTGTCAACACGGACGCACAGTGTCGATTGTTTGTGAGCACGTAAAAAACTCGCCAAAAACAACAGCCTTAGTATTGTGTATGCCATACGCGCGTTTAGGCTAATTAAAACTCACCAATAATGATGGTAGGCCAAATCAAATACGAAGTTGTACGGATAGCTGTTGGAAATTATTTGAAATAAAGGAATATATCTCTCTCATGCAAGCTCTGATTCCTTGGCCGGCTTTCAGCTATACTTTAATACAAACTTTAAATACAGAACATTTGTGCCAATTACAGATAAGGCAGATATTGTTGCCTTTTATTTGCAGCCTTTTTAACTCTTACATATTTTTTTTTAATCACTATTCCGACATTTGAAGTGTTGAGAAAATTGACCTAGACACATATCTGAAATGTAGAAGATAATATATTTGCTACTGAATATGAATGTAAAATTTCCGGGAGTTCATCTTAAGTTCAAGGATAGATTTCTTTTTTTGTTTGTTTGTTAAACCTCGTCTCATTTCAGTTCATGCAACTGAAGATAAATGACGAACACGATGGAACAGATTACTTATGTCTAATGATTGGACAATGTAATTGACTCCTTCCAGTTGAATACCATTTGATCTTGAACGGTGTTCATGATTGCTTGTCCAGAAAACAATGCAATTGAAGTTACAATACAATCACTTAATTTGACAATATCGTGTTGGTCCTAAGTTAGTGAAATAGTATTAGTTAATTCTTCAAATAAGTAAAATCTTTTGATATGCATAAGATCAGGCCTAGTGTCGAGCTTGGGACTTTATTGTGGCCTAAAACTGCTTTTTGTTCAATTACTTGTTATGGATACATTGTAGTTTGATACAGACAATACAATTCCGGGAGGAGAATCTGCGACGCACTGGGGGTGTAAAGAAATATCTGAACGTAAACCAAGCAACAATCCTTGATGATTTAAGACTGTTTTTGAAAACGGGTATATATTCATAGGACAAAATGCCACGCTCACACTGTCATATATTCACCTTGAATGGACCAAGACAACATAACGAACATATGTACTAAAGTTAAAAGATTTGATGGTTAAATACTTAAAAGTAAATTTTATACTGAGATGTACTGGTTTCACAGTTTACATTTCTGGCATTAGGGAACCATAAAATCGGGGTAGAATCGTTATTTGGAATATGATTCAAAACGTGTACGACCATTTAAGGCCAGTTTGTGTAATTACATACATCTTTCATAGTCTATCAGAATTATTCGCCCTACACATATGTTATCTTACATATATACGAATTGCCCCGTTGTTGTATTAATGTTCAGAATGTTTTATGCACGCTTCAGTATGACAGTACATGTTTGATTTCTTTGCAAGATTTAATTTATAGATATTACTCCATAGTTTTGTTCTTCAATTCAGTTGTGGTGTGATCGTCAGTTTTCAAAGAATGCCATTCAAACCTGTGCTAGGGGGTGGGCGTCTTAATCTTGCAGTGAAGTGAGGATGTTTTTGCTCCGTGTGAAAAGACTTATTGTGCATTTGAGATGAAGAACAGCAATAAAGACGCTGTTCCATTGCTTTTCGTGTTTTTTCTTTTTTTTTATGCTGTGCATGTACTGATTTCGTGTCATCGATGGATTATTCCACAGCATTTTTTTTTCTACTACGTAAAACTGAACATATGTACTGAGTTCAATTTTGATGTGACAACTATATGAGAAATTTCCTTATTCCGAAACAAGACGGAGATACAGAAAATAAAACAGAGGTGTCAGATTTAAATCATACATACCTGAAGGACAGTCAGAAGGATGAACATGTCCATGATTTTTTTCTTCATTTATAATCTATGCCATCTAAACAGGTAAATATTAAACAAATCTAAGGTTAAGATATTGACCATAAACTGTGCATTACAATGCTTAATAACCCACCCTTTTGCTATATAATATTGCATATTCTTGATGCACGGTTGGTCAGTGACAAGACGTTTGTTATATTTTTATTTCCTTGTAAATATATCTTCAAATTATTATAATCAAGAAAACAGATGTCCTTAACATTGATCTTTGTGTATACATACGTCTTGTATTTTTAAATGCATTAAGAAAACATATTTTGTTCTGTCTTTATCAATCTTAACAAAAGAATAACGATTTTAAATTCTTCTGGTTTATGATAACATATCAGAATTTTACACAAATGATAATGTGATCCTACAAAAACAATTATGGATATATAAATGGCAAACGTCTTTGATATATAATCGTAATTCATATATAACCAATAATTGTTTTCAACGTTTAAAACTTGTATTACAAATATAGAGATTTATTGTGGAAGCATGTTCACTAATGCAGAATTTCATTTACCGTGCAATTACGATTTTATATGTAAATATTCTACAATTTTTATCTTGAATATTTTACCCAATTTTATACAAAACTTCTCAAACCGGTTTTTTAGAAGAACGACTGAAATGTTACGGTCACAATCACGAATTGAATGACCGATATGATACGTCGGTATTTCAATACTCTAGCAACATGCTGCGCGGTCTTAGTTCTTCAGATATCAGAATAATTGTCTAAATGTAATTTTACAGGTTGTGATCTTGTCGATTGTGACAATTTAAGTGCTTGTAGATTCGCATGGCGGGTATGTTTCCTTTGAAAATGGCGCTTTACTGTCGACGCACATGGTTTTGTTCCATTTGAAGTTCTTGCGATTCCCTGCAAGTTTTGTTTGCTACCATGATATGTCTCTTTTCGCTTATGTACGAGATTTGAACATCGGAAAACTACTGTCGTTATTAATTCACCGATTTATATATGAATGGATTCGTATCTAGTTCTGATGATGTTTCATGCTGCTTCTCCGGTAAAGCGCCCATATGAAGAAACTGATATGTCTCAGATCTTTGAACTCTTACTACGCGAGATTTTAAAAGACTATAAGCATTTGTTATTTTTGTATACTATCCCTCGATATTTACATCAAAACATTTCTTATATTTGTGTCAATAAATGCGCATGTGCAGGTCTCAATTATGGTTGAAAGTCTAAATATGGACATTCCTACAGTAACAGGACGAAACTAACGACTTCGTTATATAGCTGTACCTTTTTATACTCCTAGATGAGGCTTTTATATTTGTTTTCCATCTATATTTTTTTATTTTTATAAAGTTTAGTACATATTTAACAGCGATAGTGGGCATACAGCCGTGATAATGTTTCCCTCGAAAACGTGAAATTTCCGTTAACAAGTAAAAGACTTCACTCATGACAAAATATTCAGCAGTATAAATGGCATCAAATGAGTTAAATTTGTTTTAAAGGACAATACAAATATTTGTGCATATATCAATGGTCATTTAGTTCAATTCATATAAGTCTAGAAAACAGAACAAACTTGAAACCTGTAGAGATTTGTTAAGCATGTAATCTCCGTGGAATGGTGATTTATAAACATACGGCAATATTGAATATAAATTGCACATCCAAAAGGTATGAATCGGTGTCCGTATCAATATTTATTACAACTTTTCCCTACAAAAATGCTTATTTTCTTGATAAATGGCAAAATCCTTGAAATGTAATTTCCGTGGAATGTAATATCCGTTGACACTTCAAAAACGTCGGGAATTTTCACGCGTTTCCATGGTATTTTGACGTTTCCGGGAATGGAAGACATACAGCGTCCTGTGAAGATATATAGAAACAGATGAGTAAAGAGAGACAACTGCAACAGTAGCAATCATTAAATTTGTGAAATAATGAATGGTAATTTGTAGTAATAGCTATAGTCTAACAATTATGACACATTGACATGCTATTTTAAGTAGCAGCAATAAATTCCATACACTGATATAAGTTTGTTCCGACACAGAATCCTATTATTATAAAATTTTATTTTCAGTTAGCGTGAAAATTTCTACATACAAAGGGATGTTTCTCAACAGACACTGAATACTTCATAAATTAAAAATATTAAAAAAAAATACCTCGTACATCTTTTTTCTGTGTAAGATAACATATCAAACATAATATTAGGGACTCCGGTGCTATTCTAGTAGTTTAAAGAAAATGTCCATTCAGTTTCAACCCTGTCCCCCCATTTGGGGTACCATCACCTTAAGAAATCAAATGCCTAGGCAGCTAGTTAAAATATATTTTAAGGGGCAACTTATTGATATGTCGATCCTTATAGATTTTTCATAATGTAGCAAGCATATTTCGTACGTTGATTTCCATGCTGCACCTTACTGAACCTAACGTTGCATATTTTGAAGAAAACATAGTTTACAAGAATCTACCGATTCTCTCTAGGAGACTATCAATTGAGATTAAAAAAAATAGCAAAACGGTCGAACGATACAAAAATTTATCAGAAGACTGACAAGTGCATTTGCGTGGTGCAGGTTAAACTAGAAAGACTTTTAATTTGTTATATAATAGCTTTCCAAAATAGTACATCTTACGCCCTTTAGTTCTGGCGAACAGTGCTTTCTTTCACGTCCGCATTTCTATAAAATATGGCATGCCGAGTTGACACTATTAAAAATCATTACGGATGTAAAATAAGTATCGAATTGTCCGTTTAATTAATCAACATGTACCATGAATACGTATTTTTGTGCAAATACGCTCTTTAGTTCTGGCGAACAGTGCTTTCTTTCACGTCCGCATTTCTATAAAGTATGGCATGCCGAGTTGACACTATTAAAAATCATTACGGATGTAAAATAAGTATCGAATTGTCCGTCTTATTTAACAACAATGTACCATGAATACGTACTTTTTGTGCAAATAATACAGCAATACAAATTAAAAAATCTACTCGGCATACATTTTGCCGGAGAATGGGCTGTATAATAGCCAGAGTAAGACTGCATACAAGAATTATTTTTATTTAGTTTCTTGTTGATGGGTTCTTTTAAAATTGAATGAGATGATGCTGCCAATAAAGATGGCTTATTACTACGCACACACTATCTGATCTTTTATTGCGGAGGATTTAGTACTCACTTGGTAGTTTTTGTAAAAATATGTCGGTATTGTTGTTAACAAAAAAAAACAAGAAGATGTTGTATGTTTACTAATAAGACAACTCTCTGTCAAATACCAAGTTACGTGTAAGTAGACAACTGATATTTGTCACCGTACGGACTTCAACCATGAGAAAAAAACCACAGATACACACACATACATATATATAGCAAGCTATAAAAGGCCGCGAAATGACAAATGTAAAACGATTCAAACTAGAAAACTAAAGGCTTGTTTGATGTACAAAACAATAAACGAAAAATAAATATGATACACACCAACAAACGACAATCACTGATTTATAGGATCCTGACTTGCTTGTCTTTCTGTCACCTTTTGTCTCTTTTTTAATTTTTGACATCTCTATCTTTATTTCAACAAATATTTATTTGAAAAACATTCTCTGTTATGGTGCTCTTCATTTTTAATGGGCATGAAATATTTGCCACTAGACATCAAAGTCACATGAAACGAGTGACTGGTGAAAAATAATGTTTATCCAATTCTTCAACCAATGCATGTATATATCATAAACTTAGTCTTCGATTTTATCTTTTTTTACGCAAACATATCGTATAATCGTCAAATTTTTTTTCTCTCTTTCTGTTTTGATGTGAAAATATGGCAGCTAATCAATTGTCGTATTTTGATGCCGTATTTTACCGATTGTCACCTTAGTAAGCAATTCAACAAAGAAGCATGGATATTGTGCATGTGTATAACATGTACAATCAGATAATAGTTTATTTTAATGACAGATCCATGCGTATTGCGATCACCGGATTTTTACGAGAAGGGTCACGCTAAGGTCACTTGCATACAGAAAATATGTAGGCGAATTGCTTCCTGGAAGCAAACAATTAAAAAAAAGTAACCTTCTTCTAAATGTGGACAAATTAAAGAATTTTCTTCAGAAAAAAGTATATGTACAGAAGTTTTATAATGAGAACTATCCATTTAGTTATAAAAAAACATATGCATCATTTTTTTTTAATTTGAGGTTTCATATGACTTTAAGCAAACAGTTATCCACCAATCGTTACTATATTTTAAAATAACAGAACCACCACGGTGGTCCCGATAATGGTAGCTTCGAGCGTTGTTTAAAGGGTTCGGGTTCTAACCCTTCGTCCTAGTCAAAAGATCGTTAAAAATCCGGTCATGCGTGTCGATCAGTACAAATTAGACCATAAGTCTTGCAATTGAGTTATTTCATATTTTTCAAGTCGGGGTCCGTTTTAATAGCTGAATATACGTCATGGGATTTTCTCATTGTTTAAGGCCATATACGGTTGACATTTATTAGTTCCAACCTGATTGTTTTAACTTTGGTGGATACTTGACTCTTTCCCACTGGACGATCAACAGCCATGGGATCATCTATAATAACAGCTAGTACTACATGTACAATGACTTAAACATGATTAAATATTCATAATTGTTTCTTTTTGTCTTTATGTCAGCTTCATCAACATCTCCAATTTTTATATTTCAGAAACAAAGAAAAAAACGAAAGCTGAATATCAGAAGGAATATCGCGAAAGAAAAAGGTTACAAAATGTAGAAGAATACCTACAAAAAGAGAATGAGCGAAAGAAGAAGTCATATGTAAAAAGTACCGAGTTGTCAAAAAGAGATTTTGAACGAAAACGTAGAATCAACAGAGAAAATGTGAAGCTATATCGACAAAGAAAAAAACAAGAAAAGCAAGTTAAACAAAATGATGTTTCAAATAAACGCACGTCGTCCAGAAAAAGAATTAGTAGAGCTATTTCTAGAGCTAATAGAAAAATACACAAACTGGAAAAAGAATTGCAGACTTCCAACAGAAAAGTATGGAAACTTAAAAAGAGAATCAGTAGATTAAAGATAGTAAAAAATGAATCAAAATCAAAATCATACAAAAATCAACAAAATAAGGAAAACATCACACCTTTGACTTCCGCGGATGCCGAAATGAGATATGTCGGTCTTGAGCCGTCAAAGTATAAAACAGTAAGACGTAAATTACAATTTCACAATGTGCTTGTGGAAGAAATTAAGGCTGTTGATCCCTGCTTTACCAAAAACATAGTAAATGGGAAGGTAACAAAAAAATACAAAATAAAATCTATTACAAGTCAGGTTTTCGGAATCCGTAGGAGATCTCTCATGTCAACGTCAAAGAAAATGAAAAAAGTTTTGCGTAAGAGACTTCCAGAAATACAAGAAGAAATAAAAACAGCAGTTTTAACGTTTTTAAACCGAGGAGACAACTCGTCTGTAATGCCAGGGAAAGCAGATTATAAAACTGTTAGCGGTCAGCAGAAACAAAAGCACATTTTATCAGATCACATGAACAATCTGTTTCACAAGTTTAGGTCAGAAAATTTAACTATCAAACTTTCTTATTCAAGATTTTGTAAATATCGTCCGATAAATTTCTCATTAGTTTCATATGCTACCCGTAACACATGCTTATGTATCAAGCACCAAAACATGGCTTTAAAATTCCGCTGTCTACATAAAATCGGTATAATTAATTGCGACAGTCCGGATGCTTTTGTGAAAGATGTTACAGACCACTTTGACGTAGACGCTTTATTTCCTGCTGACAGTGGTCCATTTCAATATGATGAATGGTCTCGAGTAAATACCGACGCTGGACAAAGAATGAACATTGTTTCAAAATCAAGTGATAGAGCCAGTTTCATAAAACTTTTTAAACCACAACTTTTTGAGTTCAAGGAACATGTCAATAGAGTCAGAAACCAGTATCATGCATTACAAGATCTTAAGGCTAATCTCCCTCGGAATCATATGATTGTGCAGATGGATTTTGCCGAAAACTTCAATTGCAAGACAGCTGATGAGGTGCAGTCGTCTTATTTTAATAAATGCTATGTGAGCTTGCACCCTGTGGTGGTTTATTACAAAGTTAATGACACATTGCATCATAAAAGTTTTACATTTATTTCCAATGACTTAAGTCATAATGCAACTTTCGTTTTTTCTGTAATCAAAAGGCTAGTTCCAATTCTCGAAACTATTAATTTAGATTTACAATGCATTCATTATTGGACAGATAGCCCAACATCTCAGTACAGAAATAAACATATCTTCTCTATTATTAAAAAGCACAAAGATCATTTCGGAGTTGATTGCACATGGGATTACTTTGAGGCGGGTCACGGGAAAGGTCCATGTGATGGAATAGGTGGAACGGTAAAACGGTGCGCTGATCTGGCTATTAAACAAAGAAAATGTACTATACAGAGTGCAGATGACTTCTACACGTGGGCATCAAGTAGCAATATCTCTGTAGCCTTTAAATATATATCAAAAGAGGATATAAGCCGATATTCCATCATTTTAAATGAAAACATTGCAAAAAACTGCAAACCTGTCAAAGGAACCTTAAAGCTGCACTCGGTTTGGAGGAACGGCAGCTCCATCTGCATCAGAAACACATCGTGTTATTGTACGAGTTGTATATCTTATGAGTTCTGTGCTGGTTGCAAAAATATCTAATCAAGAATATGCTGGTCCGAAAAATGTACATGTTATTTATGAATCTGATTGTTTAGTATTTACAATGGAATTAAAACAAACAGATGCTGTTATAAATGAATTGATGTTTGCTTATTAATCAAAGAAACAATATTATTCATAGGATCAAAATTAAAATTATACTTCTCTTCCGTTAGCTGTATATTTAATTGTTGAGAAACTTAAACATATGATATTTAATTTTTATCATATTTTAATATCAAAGTTTCCAATATGAAACAAAGAAATGTGGAATAACTGCCCATCATATTACAGATACCATATGCCATAGATGTCAGGAACTATAGACCACCTTACGGCTTTCAACAATGAGCAAAACTCATATCCATAGCAAGCTACGACTTGACTTCTGCTGTCCTTTATTTTTGTCAGTTACTTGCATGTTATCTAGTGGTCATTGTCATAAATTGAATGTATAAACACACGAAAATAACATACTCAAATAAAAACACATTGAACTTGACATATAAAAAGGGGAAAACATATATATAGCAATATTTCATCGCCAGTATCAACATCATATTTAGAGATAAAAGCGAAATTTTATGTTGTAACCCGCTCCAGGATAAAAAAACCAACAAAATAGTTTTTACATGTTTAAATATATATGAACATCAGTATTATAAATTTATAATATATTATAAATAAACTCATCATAGTAAGTAACGATATTGCGCATTTCGTTTGTTTGTTCGTTGGTGTTTAACGCCACCTTCTTAGTCCATTTTGCAAACTTAAAAAGTGTTTTACATGATCTTTTTATGAAAAAAAATGTTCTGAAACAAGTTTGACAGAAAAAAATGCAAAGTTTGTGGTGAAGAAACTCAAAAGATTGTTGTAAGACAATAAGTATGCAGACATTAGTAATAAATCTTCATTTTATCACACGAGAAACACGCAGGTTTATTTCAATTTATAAAGTTTGAATTAATAAAATACCTTAAAAAGAAATGGTTTTAAAGGTTTAAGCATTATTTTTTTGGGTTATAAATCATACTATCAGATTACGACGTCAACGGAAAAATAAAGACGTCATTTTTTTACATTTTTATTTTTATCTCAACCTCAACTTCAACGATCATTACTACATAATTGTAGAACATTACATGCTAAAATTTAAATGGTGGATAGTATATACTATACGGATGCTCTATGCGATTTGTTTAGACATTTTGATGCAATTTATTTTCTATCATTTTTGAGCCTGTACATGGGCGCCTTACCGGAGAAATAGTGCTCAACGGCATTTACCCAAGTTATCATGATTTTCACGTGATTTTATTTTATAAAAAAAAGTACATAAATTATGAAAACAACTTGCACTCTTTGTATTTCTTTCACTAATATTTCTATTTTTTGTTGACTTTTCTTCGAACAGAAAGTCAGTATTCGAAATTTTATAACAAAGGAAAGCCGTTGAAAACAAGTTTATCTTAATTTAGTAATTATAAATATAAAGAGGGCGGGTGCATAGTATCGCTTAACGAACGATTTAAACAAAAGGGTACAAAGTAAAAAAATGTATCAATAACGTCGCTTGAAAAATTAATCGGTTTTTGTTAGTCATATTATCAGTATCAATTTATTTGCACATTCGATTAGTTCGTTATAAATAAAATTTTACATCAATTTTCTCAAAATCACAAATATAATTCAGAAAATGAACGTGATCAATACTGTCTTTTTTGTGATAATTTGATTCATTTCTAATCATCAGTTATTTTTCCCCTTATTATTCTTAAAGAATATAGGACTCACATGTTACACGTGACAACGGTTATCCTGCTATGGTGTAGATTTTAAACAATATTTGAAATTATTTGAATACATTGCAAAGAGAGTTTAATTGTCGGTACTTGATTTCGTCATATTTAAGAATACCTGAGGACATTTACAATCAAATCAATTTGTCAAGATTGAGTTAACATGTTTAGTGGAATCGTGTAATTATATTTACTAAACAAATATGCTAACCTGAAACTACTTGATCCATTTACAAATTTAGATAAAACAAAGATGATGAAAAAAAATGCTGTATGTTGTTTTGAGTAATTGGCTTGAAAGTACAGAGTGTCTATTGTGCAATATCATCACATATTCATCATTGTTGTGAAATGTTATTTGATATAACTTCAATTTTAACACAAAGGATACTGCATTTGAACTTAAAAGTGATATTCTGTGATTCATTTGAACACACTTCAATATTTATAATTGTTTTATGTATATGTATGTACCTTATATTGTGACTCATTTTCAATAACTTGTTGTATCTAAAATAAACATTTAAACAGGATACCTGATATTTTTCAATAGAAAACTGACAGACCATGCAAATGATGTTTGAACTAAAGCTTGAAGTCTTGTATTTAACATTGACCTAAATAAGAATTGTAAAATTGTAGTTTAACAATTCGAAAAAATGATTTAAATATCGTGTTCAGTATTTTGTTATTTAAGTAAACTTTTGAATGAATGCATACGGAACGATAATGTTCATTATTTATAATCCAAACAAAGGAGTAATGACCCTACATGTTCTATTTTGAGTAAAATCAATGAATTTTCTTTTTAAAATGTGTCTAAAACTACAGTACCCAAAATCAAAAAACAAACTATGGACAAGAAATTACCAAAGTTTGCCAACAGGGATACAGGCATACCTGTGATCACAGATACAGTACTGGATTTTAGTAGTAACAGTCTAATGACAAAAAATGTAAATATATACAGTCGTTTTTACGAAATTTGAACATCGGATAAATACTGTCGTCTTTTATTCATAAATACTTATTTATGATAGAAATTGTATCATAAGTTATTGAACGGAAACGAAATAAAGTGCCAGTTTCTAATAAATCAAGGACCATAACTCCTGAACGTTAAAAAATCAAAATCGTATATATCGAACTTAACCTCCATTTTGTCATCAGTATCAACATATCACAATTTGAAAAGCATTGGTTGATCGATTCATAAGCCATTTCACGGACACTGTTGGCAGCCGCCAGTTTCCAATAGATCAAGGGACATACGGTAACTCCTGAACTGTAAAAGTAAAAATCGTCTATATTGAATTTTACCTCCATTTTGTCATTAATATTAACACATCAAAATTTGAAAAATCAATGGTTGAACGGTTCATAAGTTATTGCAGGGAAACGGTTGAAAGCCGTCCGCCCGTTTTTTTCTCCGAAAAACCCCAGTTTAACTTAGGTTTTTAAGATAGATAAAACGTAGAATGACTATGTTTAGTAAACTAAATATGCTTACCTGAAACTACTTGATCCAGAGTTAAACAAGACAAAGATGATGAAATGAATGTTTTATGTTATCCATTATAAGTTTTTGAATTGAAAGTACAGACGGTCCATTGTGCAGTATCATCCCATATTCATCACTGTAGTGAAATGTTATTTGATATTACTTCCATTCAAACACAACAGATTCAGCATTTGAACTTTAAAATGATATTTTGTGATTCATTTGGACAAACCCCAAAATTTATAAGTGTATGCTCTACCTTACATTGCAACTGATTTATAATAACTCGTTGTATTTTAAATAAAAAATTTTGACAGGATACCTGATATTTTTCAATAGAAAACTGACAGACCATGCAAATGATCTTCTAAAGTTTGAAGTCTGGTATTTAACATTGACCTAAATTAGAATTGCAAAACTGTATTCAAAAAACGTATAGATTTTAAAGTTTAAATGTCTTTATTTTGTTAGTAAAGGAAACTTTTGAATGAATGCATAAGGAACAATAATGTCCATTATCTATAATCCCAACGAAAGAGTCATGAGCTCACATGTTGAAAACAGATCATGTTATAGTTTGTGTAAAATAAAAGATTTTCTTTTAAGTTTAAAACTACCCGCAGCAGGCACCCGATGTTGTACAGACGTTGATGTTTGGTTGAAAATACAATGTAGGTCGTAACGTCGGCGACCTGAATTCAAAGTCGGCTGACAAACGTCAGTCTGACGATATAGAACGATGTCTACATAACTTTGCTTTTTGATCGCGACCTTATACAACATTGTACAACGCCACAACAACGTTGGATGCCATATGTGGGTCGGACATCTAAATTAATCTAAAATATTGAAATCACACGTACATGAAAATAAAGTTTTAAATTGTATATTATCCTTTCATATTAATATTTATATATATGCATCCTATTGTTATCTAAAATAATAATGAACCTTGAAATAAAGTTTAATATAGCCCTCTACTAAGATGAATAACGTCGAACAAGCCTTTTTCCAGTGTTTATATTATATTCAGATTAACACCACCCCCTTTTTTCAAGGTACAGTCGCGCCCCTTTAGATGACGCAATAACATCAATATACTATTTAAATTATTCAATTGATAGTTTTTAATGTTAATATTATAATCGGTGTATTTGTTATCTTTCATGCAAATAAATAAATAGGTACACACGAGTGTGATGTGTATGCATAGATAATTGATAAACATGTATTTATGTGTGCGGTGTAGAGACTATTTGATAATCTAGTTCACGGTATTTCTATTACGTAATCACGATGCATAGGATTAAGGACGGAACTAACATTTAATTTCATTTGAAAACTAGGCTCAAACCTTGTGGAAAAAGTAAAGATCATTATCAAGATTAATTAAAAAGTTAACAGTAAAAAAAGGATTGCACACTAATCGTACAGTTTCATGTTTAATTTCAGTTGATCGTTTCCTTTACTATAAAGAAAAGGCATTCTAGGAGTAAAAGATGGAAAAAAAGGGGGTCACCAAAATGAAGAGGAAAAGCTTTTTACACAATCCTTGGTGTAAATGATGTCTTGTGACCCTAAAATAATGTTTTTCTGCTTATATTTTTGGTTAATGATCCTCTTGAAATGTCGGTTTGGTGGGATGGCAAACATGTATTATAGTAGAACCCAGTCAAGATAAGTTATGTCGCCAATCTGTTCACAAATGCGGGCCCGGAAAAACTCGAAACCAATAATAAGTCAACTCGGACCGTCTATAAAATCAACTCGGATCGACTATAAAGTCAAATCGGACCATTTACAATGATAACTCAGACAAAGTCTGTTAACAGGTCAACTCGGACCGTCTATATTTATTTACTCATACAGCTTTTAAACAACAGAAATGAAAATAAATTTAAGGAGAGTCATTCAATATTCAACAATAGACATACATATATGTTAATACAAATTGTCCTGAGTCTGTTATCTTTAATTGTCTCTTCTTAGACGGCCCGAGTTGTCTTTTACGTCAATTATAGTTAAAACAACTCTTCCTTTATTTTGCGCATTATAGAGGGCCTGAGATACACAGTTTTTATCGTCGAAAACATTCATTAAATTATTTATATAAGTAAAAATTTATCTTTGTCTAAATTTGTATAATAGGTGATCCGAGTTGAATTGAAAGACGGTCCAAGTTGAATTGATAGACGGTCCGATTTGAATTGATAGACAGTCCAAGTTGAATTGATAGACGGTTCGAGTTGACTTTATAGTCAGTCCGATTTGAATTGATAGACGGTCCGAGTTGAATTGATAGACGGTCCGAGTTGAGTTGATAGACGGTCCGAGTTGACTTATTGAAGGGTCCGAGTTGTCGCACACCCGCTGTTTACATGTACAAAAATGTAATGTATCCCTATTTTTTCAATAGATCTTTTCACTAATTGAGAAACTGTGGCACTTGATGAGCATTTGAGACACGCAAACTTTTGGCTTCATCATATATATAAGAAGATGTGGTATAAGTGCCAATGTGACAACTCTCCATCCAAGTCAAAATTTATAAAAGTAAACCAATGTAGGTCAAAGTACGGTCTTCAACACGGAGCCTTGGCTCACAGCGAACAGCAAGCTATAAAGGGCCCCACAAATAACTAGTGTAAATCCATTCAAACGGGTAAACCAACGGTCTAATCTATATAAAAACACTTATGAACCACATCAACAAACGACAACTACTGAACATCAGATTCCTGACTTAGGACAGGTGCAAACAATTGCAGCGGGTTTAAACGTTTTAATGGTACCAAACCTACACCCTTATCTCAAACAATAGTGTAACATCACAACATAGAAAGACGAACTATAAAATATCAATTGAAATGGCTTAAATCAATCAAAAGACATATTAACACCAGTGAACATACACTGAACAAATAACATTGTATCTATGATACAATGTAAATACAAAATAAATAAACAGAGTGAAGAATAATTAAAGTAACATGTTATACCGCTGTGAAATGTTAAACAATTTAAGAAAAACAATATGATTGAACAAAAATATCAGCCATTTGCAATTACTTTAAACACAGGTAAATGAAAATAACTTTGTTGTTAGGTATACGTGTACAGTTCAAATGGAGAAAGGAAATATTTTTTTAAAAATAAATAATTTTAATGTTCAAAGTACGAAGAAGTGAAAATTTATAGTAATACCAAACACTTATCAAAGCTGGTATATAGATCAGATATAACCCTGAATAAGTAGACATTAAATAACAAAAAAGCATTACAATTAGTCTCAACAGGTCAAATAAACAAAAAAGTACGATCCCAGGGATCTAGTATTTTAACGTCATGGACAGTCAAAGAAGACATGACTTGTGCAATGCCAAAAATAAATGTATCGACAGGCAGTAGGATAGTTAGGAGTTAACCTCTTATGTTTATACAACAATCACTTTAATTTTCGGCGTCCGACATGTTCTCTACCATGATATGTGCAGGTGGTCTTGTGACATCAAAGTTTTACAGGAACATGCGTGATATCAAGGTAGTGTTTTTATCCTCATTTGAACCTCAAGTATAGACACAAAATAGGAATACATGCTTTTGTTATTCTGTAATGTATTACATAGCAGAACAAAATGTCAGAGGCTCATAAGAATAGATGTTAAAAATGATGAGTATACATGAATTGTACGGTTTTTTTCTTACATGAAATTAATCTTTTTTTATTAGTAAATGGAAAAACACTGAAACTGTGAATGACCTTAGAAACAATAAATACCTACTCGTTCGATTTTCTCGCCCTGTTCATGGATCCTTACTAATATAACCAATATTCTTTTTTTCAAAATCCGACGACTACCAACCGCTTTATACTTAAAGAGTGTATCGGAAAAATTCCTCTGATGTCTTCGATCACATCATCATGTAGTACAATGGTGTAGTGCCATAGATATAAGTCAAACCGTTAAAGACGAGTTCCGTTTAATGCATATGCATATGCTCAGACGGAATGACAAATAGACAAACAGACAAACGGACGGACGGACGGGTGGATAGTGGATCCAAAACTTTGTATGCAGATGGGGGATAACAATGATAATATTTTTTTTTTTTATGATTTGGGAACAGGGTATGTGTAATACTCGGATATATTAAGATTTAAAAAAGACCACAGTTAAACAGAAACAGTTATTACACAATTAAGTAAACTGAAAAAAATTAAAATAACAAAAATACAGAACTCCAAGGAAAATTCAAAACAGAAAGTCCTTTCTCAAATGGCAAAATCAAAAGCTCAAACACATCAAACGAATGAAAACAACTGATTTTCCTCAGCTAAAGTGTTAAATGTTAACCTAAACAAGAAAATGTCAAACGTTGGGAAGAGATCGAAGGGCGAAAAATATTTAATGAGAATGAAAAGAGTTATCCAAAGACAACAGAACATATTTTAAACATACGACATGTCAAACTTAATCCACAACTTAGCCATACTATCCATTCAGAGTTCATGTTACTGACAAATTTCTTGTTGAATGGCACACAATAGAAATTATAGTTTGAAGAACATTGTTAAAGTACGCTTTACTTTTCGATTGCATTACAATGAATATATGTATATGTTAAATCGATGTTTCCTGTTAAATAAGTTTTATGATAATATTTTATTCACAGTTTTCATTTTATGTTACTCGTTACAGACACTATAACAGCAACTTCAGTTGGGTGCAGACCAAGCATTACATGTAGACGGGCGGAAAAAGTTAACGCGGCGTTTACTCGCGTGCACTTCATGTAAACGCCGCGTTAACTGTGCGTTTACTCCGAAATTTCAGTAGACATAAAAAGTAAACAGGCGTTTACTTTCGCGTTTACCTCCGCGTTAACGCAAAAACGGCGCGTCTTCTAATTTTGTAAAGAGTAAACGGGCGTTTACTTTCGCGTTTACTTCCGCGTTAACGTGAAAAAAGGCGCGTCTTCTATTTTCGTCAAAAGTAAATGCACGTTTACTGTTTGTAGTAACCCAGGTAGCACAAAAAATTTTCAAAACATTTTTATAAGGTTGTATAAATGTCTTCTCAAAACATTGTCGAAAAATATTTTTGTGATGTTATGTAGATATTTGTTTCGGTATTTTAAAAATATTTATTTAAAACATTTTTTGAAAAATATTCATCAAAATGTTTTCAATAACTTTTTTAAGATATTTTGTTTGAATGTTTTATAAATGTTCAGAAGATATGTAGGTTCTACCTCTGAAAAACATTTTAAAAGCATATGGGTAAAACATTCTTAACAATGTTGTTCCTAGATTTTTTAAACATTTTCTAAAAACGTTTCATGAAATGTTTTAATAACATGCCTTTTTGATATTTTAACAACAATTCTTTATAATATTTGATGAAAACATTTTAAAAATGTTACGCATTTAATATTGAGAAAATGTATTTTCAAATCATTTTGTTGCTAATATTTTAACAACATTTTAAAATAATATTATAAAAACATTTACTCAAAAACATTTAATAGAAAATGTTTAAACAATATTATGCAAACATTCATTTGGGTTATTGAATAAAAACTTTATTTTATCAAATGACAGAAACTTAAAGGTGATATGAAGCGGTACTTCCCATATATAGCTTTATATATTGCACGTATTGCTATTTTCCGGATTTTCTGTTCCAGTACCGACAACAAACGTTTACAAATTTAAAATTTAACTGTTCCCGATGACCAACGAACATGGTCCGATGCAATTTTGGAACCAGTAACCGGAGGTTTTATTTACCGCCTTGCTGTAACAAAAGACAAAGGAAATGTACAAACTAAAGAATAACCTTATCATGCGTTAAAACTGGTAAGATATGACACTAGTTCACATTTTTAAAAACATTGAAGTGATTCTGGATATATCTTAGTTAATTTGATTAATATATTCCAAGAATTAATACGAGTGTATTTAAGCAAACACAATGCAAAAAGGGGGTGATAATTTAGTCAGTGCATATATATTATGATGTTTATGTCCAATAAATATTAAGATTTATACAAAATGGGTTACACTTAAGGGTTATTTATATGTAACCAGTGAGCTTGTCTCCTCCAGGACTTCACTCTTCGGTGTTACAAGTCAACCCTTGAACAGACTGAGCTATTTAAGCAGTACTTCCCTATCTCAACCGCTGGCTACATATCTACTAGTCAAGGGAGTCCCATCATGCACTGGTTATCAAAGCTTTTGCTATGCGATAACTCGAGTGCCGTTGCCTCTATAACAGCCTGCATAGTTAGCAACTAGTCCAATGCCTCAGACTAGTAAAATTTTATTCGGACTAGTATATTTTTGCAAAATTTAGTTTAGACATATAAGGAAAATGTCTGAATATTTGTTTTAGGACTAGTTGTAGGAAAAGATTTTGGTGCACACTGCTATAAAAAAAAAAGTAAAATCACAAAAATGCTGAACTCAGAGGAAAATTCAATCGGAAAGTCCCTAATCACATGGCAAAATCAAATGACAAAACACATCAAACGAATGGACAACAACTGTCATACTCCTGACTTGGTACAGGCATTTTCAAATGTAGAAAATGGTGGATTGAACCTGGTTTTATAACGCTAAACCTCTCACTTGTACGACAGTCGCATCAAATTTAATAATATTGATAATGATGCGTGAAAAAAACAAACAGACACAATAGGTAAAAATGTCACAAATAAAGGTAAGAAGTCTAATTCTGTTGGTCACATTCGTGAAAAGGGAACGGGATTGCAGTTACGACATAAGGAACATATCTAATCACCCCCAGTTTTTGGTGGGGTTCGTGTTGCTTAGTCTTTAGTTTTCTATGTTGTGTCATCTGTACTATTATTTGTCTGTTTGTCTTTTTATTTTTGGCCATGGCGTTGTCGGTTTGTTTTCGATCTATGAGTTTGACTGTCCCTCTGGTATCTTTCGTCCCTCTTTAATATCATCTATATAACAGATATTCCATTACGGTCAACCAACTCGTGATGGCGTTCGTAAAATTTACGAAGTGATGATTTCACTATAATATATTGTTTATGTTACTTGTAATTTGTATTTAGCCCTACACGGCTACAGCCCAGGCCAGTTAAATGTAGATAATTATTTATGTGCCCATTCCAAATCAGGAGCCTTTGATTCAGCAGTTGTCGTCGGTTCATTTCTGACATATTTGTTTTTCGTCAAATGTTATAATTTGCCATTAGTTTTCTTGTTTGAATTGTCTTTCATTTTTGAATGTTGTGGCGTTTGTAGCTGACTAATACAATGTGAGTTATTCTTACCTGTATTTTATTTATTTTGTTTATTATAACTTTTGTAGGATCAATTAGCAGTGCCAAAATTAAGGATATTCAAGATATGCAGAAGTATATAAGCTTAGAAATGATTTAAACCATCCTGGAGGAGCAAATTTTGTGAAGGTATTTATTCAAACTATATTACATGTATTTGCGTTAAAATATACAATAACCATTAAGAGACTTGGTTTTTTTTTGTAAGACAAAGAAAAGGTTACAGGCCCTACTCTCAATTGGGAGTCTTGTACTGTATACATGTAGTCTTATTTTATAAACTGGTGAACTCTACCGTTGTAGACTCGTCTAATAATCATACACCCAAAGCTCCACAGATGTATAAAAATAGCTACAAATTTTGCTTCTGAATCCAGTAACACTGATTAGATGACGCTTTCGATATATTTTTGTGAAACCACTGGATTAAATTGAAGAAAAAAAGTTTCTTATGTAATTTGATGAAATTAGCTGAATTATTACTAGTTGATCACTGAACAGAAGGACTAACTTGTTTACATTTTTTTTACAGAAGCCAGTAGATGTCAAAAGAAATAAAAAGAATGGAACAAAAGGAAAATTGAAAAAGAACAGTGATATGACAATATTGAATAAATGTTTTGCATTTCTAATTGTTGCTATCTTGTAAAGTGTTGACTAAGGCAACAAAGAAAACAGTCAAAAAGCTGTTCAGAAAAAAAAAGTCAGATGCTACACATGATCAAACAAGAGATCAAGAAATACTTCTCAAAAATGTTTTGTTCAATGCGAAGACCAAATAAAATGCACAAAGATATTTAAAATCTGAAAAAAAGAATACCTTTCTGTAAGTGAATCCATGAGAAATTGTAACGTGTTCAAGGCAATACTTCAAAATAAAAAAATTGACTAATAAATAAAAATCAGATTTGTGAATTAAACAGGAAATAGTGGGGTTATGTCAACGAGACATCAATCCGACAAAAATAACCAAAATATATGTAGATTCCACAGTAATCAACTGACAATTGTAAAATGAGATGTGGGATAAAGATCAGTATGACAGCAGTTGTTTTTCAGATGCAAATCCAGAATTTTGAAAAGAGGGACCACAGGCTCCAAACTAGACACGGAGTGAAATAGGTGGAATTAGATTAACCATAAATGTAGCTCCATCAGGCGGCTTAGGACGGTGCAAGCAATTTTTACATTTGTCTTGCAGTTATACTCTCTGTTTGCAGATAGTTTGAAATTTAAATCAATTACACACAGCAATGCAGGTCCAGATGTTTTCAAATAACATTAAAAAATTTATTTATTATGTTATTTAAGTATAAAAATGATATTTAAGAAAAACAGTCTTAAAACATTCAATTAAAATATTTTCCTAAAATATGTATTCACATTATTACAGCAATACAATTAACCTCAATATCCAGAAAACATTTTTGTGATGTTAAAAATGTTTTACTCAAATTATTTAAAATGTTGTAAAAAATTTTATCATTTTACATACATATAACATTATTGGAATATTTTTTTTTTCACATTTATTTTAAATGTTTCAGTTAAACATGCCTAAAATATTTTTAAAACATTTATATAACATCCATAAAACATTTTGAAAGGATGATTAGCCAATCGATTTGGGAAAATGTATTTTAAATTTTGTTCTGATGTTTTCAATCAATATTGAAAAAATATCCTTATTATGTTATTTAGATATTAAAAATGATGTTTAAGAAAAACATTTTTATAACATACAATAAAAATATTTCCTTAAAATATGTAATTCACATTAGTACAGCCATACATTTAACCTCAATAAAATATTTTTTATGATATTTTTGTGATATAGTGCAAAATATTTTAAATATATTTTAAAAACATTTTTGTGTTAACTGGGAAACGCGCGTTAACGCAGATTGTCATCGTATCCTGGATACACTAACCTTAAATATTAAATGATAAGGTACATCAAAATTAAATGACCAACTGGTCATTTTCGATTGACATATTGACGATTACAGTTAATTAATAATGTTAAAACACCTCTTTAATTAATTGAAAATTAAGCATACTAAATTTCTTTTTCTTCACAGATAAACAGTTCAAGCATGTCCTTCTTTTATTCAAATAATTAAATCATCACAAAAATTCAACAGTTTTCACATCTGAGACTGGCTGACTCAGAATGACTCTAAAACAAAATTATTTTGTCTCATTAACCAAAAATGACCATATTTGCACTTTATCCAGTAAATCAGTTATATTTTTATGTCAGGATGGACTGTATAATACAAATGACAGCATTATTGGAACACAATGACTACAAAATTTTGTTCGCATCAATTTAGAGTGCCGGCATGTCCTATTTTTATTCAAAATATTGAATCCAAAACAAATATCAGTAGTTTTGATACCTCAGACTGACTCGTATATAAAAAAAGCATCTGTCAGCATCAACCAAAACTGACCATATTTCCTCTTTATTATGTAAATCTTATAGTTGCATAGTAAATCAGTAATATTTTTATGTCAGGACAGATTGTATAATAAAGATGACAGCCATATTGGAACACAATGACTACAAAAAATTTTCTGCATCAATTTAGAGTACCAGCATGTCCTCTTTTTATTCAAAATATTAAATTGTGAACAAATTTCAGTAGTTTTCATACCTCAGGATGCCTCGTATAACAAAATTATGTGACCTCATCAACCAAAACTGACCATATTTGCTCTTTACTATGTCAATTTATATAGCCGCATAGTAAATCAGTAATATTTTTATGTCAGGAGGGACTATATTATACAAATGACAGCAATATTGAAACACAATGACTACAAAAAATTTTCCACATCAATTTAGAGTGCCAGCATGTCCTCTTTTATTCAAAATATTGAATCGTAAACCAATTTCAGTAGTTTTCATACCTCAGACTGACTCGTATAACAAAATTATTTGTCCCCATCAACCAAAACAGACCATATTTGCACTTTATTATGAAAATCATATAGTCGCATAGTAAATCAGTTATTTTTTCATGTAAGGATGGATTGTATAATTCAAATGATAGCAATATTGGAACACAATGACTACAAAATTTTGTTCGCATCAATTTAGAGTGCCAGCATGTCCTATTTTTATTCAAAATATTGAATCTTAAACAAATATCAGTAGTTTTGATACCTCAGACTGAGACATATAACAAAATTATCTGTCAGCATCAACCGAAAATGACCATATTATCTTTGTTATGTTATTCTTATAGTTGCATAGTAAATCAGTAATATTTTTATGTTAGGACAGATTGTATAATAAAGGTGACAGCAATATTAGAACACAATGACTACAAAAAATTTTCAGCATCAATATAGAGTACCAGCATGTCCTCTTTTTATTCAAAATATTGAATCTTGAACAAATTTCAGTAGTTTTGATACCTCAGACTGACTCATATAACAAAATTATCAGTCAGCATCAACCAAAACTGGCCATATTTCCTCTTTATTATGTAAATCTTATAGTTGCATAGTAAATCAGTAATATTTTTATGTCAGGACAGATTGTATAATAAAGATGACAGCAATATTGGAACACAATGACTACAAAAAAATTTCAGCATCAATTTAGAGTACCAGCATGACCTCTTTTTATTCAAAATATTGAATCGTGAACAAATTTCAGTAGTTTTGATACCTCAGGATGCCTCGTATAACAAATTTATGTGACCGTATCAACCAAAACTGACCATTTCTGCTCTTTACTATGTAAATCTATATAGCCGCATAGTAAATCAGTAATATTTTTATGTCAGGAGGGACTATATTATACAAATGACAGCAATATTGGAACACAATGACTACAAAAAATTTTCAGCATCAATTAAGAGTGCCAGCATGTACTCTTTTTAATCAAAACATTGAATCGTAAACAAATTTCAGTAGTTTTCATACCTCAGACTGACTCGTATAACAAAATTATTTGTCCCCATCAACCAAAACGGACCATATTTGCACTTTATTATGAAAATCTTATAGTCGCATAGTAAATCAGTAATATTTTCATGTAAGGATGGATTGTATAATACAAATGATAGCAATATTGGAACACAAAGACTACAAAATTTTGTTCGCATCAATTAAGGGTGCCCGCATGCCCTATTTTTAGTCAAAATATTGAATCGTAAACAAATTTCAGTAGTTTTCATACCTCAGACTGACTCGTATAACAAAATTATTTGTCCCAACAAACCAAAACAGACCATATTCATAACTGGGAGCAGAATAAAAAAGGAAAAAACAAATTTTTCTCTTTTTTCCCTCTAATTTCTGACAAGTGCAATTAGGGGCTAAATTTGGACCAGAATGTAATAAATTTATTCTATAACCCATGTATTTGAGTAAAAAAGATGAAAAACGAAGACAATTCTGTTATATTAGTATTTATTTGTTACATTTCAAAATAAATTTATACTGAATTCTACACTTAGCTGTACATTTTCAGTCAACTCTCTGTAAAGGATGCAACATAGAATAAATTTATTCTAAATGCATGATGCTTTTCTGTATTTATGATAATTTATAAAATGAATTTATTTTATAGAGCCTTAATATCTATTATTAGTTCTAGAAAAACAGAATAAGTTTATTCTACATTCTATGTGATGCATGACTATAATAATATATAAAATAAATTTATTTTGAAAGTAAAGTTATCTGTATGGTGAGGCTGAGATACAGAATAAATTTATTCTACATTCAATGTGATTTATGATTACAATAATATATAAAATAAATTTATTTTGAAAGTCCAGTAATCTATATGGTGAGGCTGAGACACAGAATAAACTTATTCTACACTCTAAGTGATTTAAAATTTATGATTATAATGATATATAAAATAAATTTATTTCGAAAGTAAAGTTATCTGTATGGTGAGGTTAATACACAGAATAAATTTATTCTACATTTAATGTGATTTTTGTTTTATATAAAAATATATAAAATAAATTTATTATGAAAGTACAGTAATCTGCATGGTGAGGCTGAGACACAGAATAAATTTATTCTACACTCTTAATGATTTAAAATTTATGAATTATAAAAATATATAAAATAAATTTATTATGAAAGTACAGTAATTACGTTAAGGTTGAGACAAAGAATAAATTTATTCTACACTCACACTATTTCTGGTTATAAAAATATATAAAATGTCTTCAGGTAAAAATACACTGATCTGAAGGACTGTCTACTACATAGAATAAATTTATTTTATGACAGCAGTGCACGTGCTTTTGATAATATTCAATATGTTCACATGATACATTTTTCCCTATACAATTCTATCTTTCATGTCAATTTACATGTAACATTCATAAAAATGTATTTTATTTGGAGTTGGGATGTGAATGTTTTTAAACCTAACATAGAACAAAATATATTTCTGCTATCAACAATGCAAAAGGACACTTCTATAAAATATGGAAATATCAATATCAGCAGATTTTGTTATGTTGGACTGAATAGCAAGATGAAAGAACTACAGCAATCTTAAAAAACAAAATATCAACATATAAATGTAAAATAAACAGTTTAAAAATAGTTAAAATTCAACCAGTTCTATTAAAACTGAGAAAAAAAATCT